AAAATGCCGCCCATCCTATTCGTGATTGTGACATATTTTGCAATTATTTTGTCCACACAAATCAAAAGTACTGAAGCCACTGACTTTTGGAGCGTTCCCGACGTCTTTAGCTCCTGCACAATACAGTTCATTACCGGCGGATGCAGTCAAGTTATTGACTCTGAGGAACTTCTCCGTTCCGATATTCGGACTAATAATCCCTACACACCAACCATATCAGATCTTATTCCTGGCTGGGATTTATCAAAAACTCGGTATTCGTCGGATCATTTATTCCCCAATTCACATCTCCTCAGTGACCTAACACGGAAGAGAAAATCATTATCTGCAAACACCGTAGTAACATTTGTCAACCAAAAATGTGGGAAAGAAAACATGCACAAATACTCCGGATCACAACGCCTTTTATTTTGGAGGATAGTTCTTTCCCACGAAAATCCAGACTTCATATTTAACCACGTCTACTTCTACTCTAGAAGGCTTTTCCCAAAGTGTTTTTTAACCAGCATATTTCTCGACTTTGATTACGACATGCCAAACCATTTAGGCATGTACTTTTGTGAGTCACTAATCTCGCTAGAATTGACGGCTCTAAATGAAATATCGCAGACATGGAAGAATTACCATACAAATTTGCAAAAACAAATCGTAGTAATGTCAGATCGGATGTTTACAAGGTCGTTAAAGGCAAATTGTGGAGGGAGTTTACTCACTTACGCGTTGCCCATTCATTACCACGCATGCGGCTTATTGGTAATAGCAAAAAAATACAATTTCACCCTAACCCAATCATTTCCTGGCATAAGTCCAAGAAGACACGCCGGCAACGTAAATTTCTTTGTTGCATCGAACAATTATTCTCTGTATAATTGGATATGTAGAGTACATGGGAAGGAAATATCGACCTATGGCGTGGAATTTATGAAGTTCGCATTTGCAATTATTACTCCCAAACCGTCTACAATGGAAGGATTTGAAACGTTGTATGCCCCTTTTGACTCGGTAACATGGGGACTACTGATTTCTAGCTGTATAGCGCTTTTATTAGTTATGTCATTGCAATCGGAAATGGATTCTCCGATAGAATTAGTGAAGTCGGTTTGGAATAAAATTTATTGGATTGTTTCGACCTTGCTTGTCGAATCGGACGGAATAGGATTAATTTCTACGAGAAAGACAGTAGTTCTTTTTCCTTGGTTAATATGCTGGTATTTTTGTTGCATGCTGATAAGTAACTTTTATCAAGGAGAGGTTTATTCCAGTTTGACCAAAATATCAATTCCTGCCTTACCCAGGACAATGCACGATTTGATTGATTCTGGGATACCAATTATAACACACTCAGAGATGGGTGCTCAGAGAAATAATTCAGAATCATATTTATCCAATTTGGAATATCAAATAGAGTTGATTTTGGACGCCTTTGAGGAACAAGGTGCAGCAGCCAAATATTTAGTTAAGTTGATGAAAAGGATAAGTCACGTTAGCGCGTTGAATGACGTCTACTTGCTCCACATTTCGCGTAATATATCCTTTTCTACGGAATTATATGATCATCATGGTAAAATTGTTGAGACAGCGGGTTCAATTGCAATTGTGGATCACGAAGAAGAAGTTGAAAAAATGGCCGATCACATTGAATTATTTGATAACAAATCTATCACAAGAAATTATGAGGATATCAACTTGCGATACGTGTTGTATTCAACTATCACACGAAATAACATATTTCAATTGGTACACTATGCACTTGGACAATTTCAACAAGCGGGAATATCCCAACGCTGGAAAGCTTTGTTAGAAATGCGGGTATTGCATTTCGAAGCGGATTTCCTCCTAGGCACGAGTAATTCACGGTACTTCAGGAAAAAGAGGGAGAATGCAAAAAGCGACGTTGTGTTTAATGAGGCACAGGCCGTATCGGTAGGTGCGATAGAATATTTGGTTGTTGGCTGTACAGTCCTTTCAGTACTGGCTGGAATGGCGTTTGCGATCGAAATTAGGGACACAATTGCAGCTGTAATGCGAAACTCTTGGTTTTCAGTGAGCCGACGAATACTTAAAGTATTGACGGAATGGAGGAAATATATTGGACGAGTCAAGTGCAAGTGTGGATCTTGTAAATTGGAACGTTATCGCGCGTTTCATGAAAGTAAAAATGGATAATTATCAAATAGCTCGTGGTCACATGTAGTTTCATAAATCTATACAGTTGAATCCTTGTATTAAAATATGTAATTCTATGGTAGAATCTCAGCTCGGGTAGAAATGAGACGCCGTAAAAAGAGGGTGTTGTCTTGTATATACATACAATGTATTTATGCATAAATGTATGCAATGTAAATTATAGTTATTTATTAATTAAAATTTAACTAGTTTATTTACATATGTTGATAACTTACAATTAGTACACAATAAACTTAAAATAAATAAATTTATTTTGTCTCTTTATGACAAAACGCGATGATAAGAGATTCTCTTCAGGAATGGCAATAATTAGCCTGTGCCGCCTTACATATGTACAGATCTTAATGACGTCTTTAGTAGCTTACAATGTGCGGCAAATCGATGTTTAAGACGTTTTTTAACATGGGACACTTCTTATGGACATCGTACAGATATTCATTTTCTGGACCGGGAACGTCCATAGATTACATCCTCAAAATGAAGGGTTTTGGGTTGCCAGACGCTTAACATGGGTGGGATAGGAATGGGGTGGGTGGTGGTCCAAAAATTGTTTGTTTGATGACATAATATATCGTCGTTGAAGGATGGAAAAGAGCTATTGCCATTCTGTGTTAAATAAGGAAAGAGCCTTCTCCACTTTGTGTTAAATAAGGAAAGAGCTATTGCCATTCGTCGTCAAATAAAAAAGGGGCTTAATCCACTTAAGGGGCAATCTGCGATTTTTGGATATTCAGAATCCTCATGGTCTAATTTATCAGAAAATATATCACACATATTTATTTAAATTAATTATCGACGAGAAAAAAATTGGAAAGTTGATGCATTGGTCTTTACATGTGATTCCGCCCGACTCGAGTCGAGCGAATCTGTTCCAATTCAACGGAAGTAAATAATTGAGCTGCATTGTTTATTAAATCATAAGCTGTCTTTTAAATTACCAAGTCGCCAACCAGTTATTAGAAGAAAAATATGCTTGAGTGAATATTAGAATAAATGACTTCAATTTATTTGGCTTGGCTGAAAGAAAAACATGGAGGCATAAGAACGGTCAGGAAAACTGAACACATAGAGGAAAAATCAGCAGATGTCAATTGTTAAGCCTGATTATAAATTATTAAGTCAAAAGATAATGTTAAGAAAATTTAAAGACCTCCGAAATCTCAAATCAGTGATCCCAAAAAGTTATCACTTATGATAAGTGGCCACATACCTAATTTGTATATACGTCGTGTCATAATTTGAGAAGTATATAATTTGTTAAGAATGTTAATAATCAACTCCAGCTAGCATATATTTATGTCCCGATTATTATCATTTTTAACAAGTTATATACTTCTCGAAATAAATATTTGTTAGAGTTGATTTCACACTTTCAGATTGCTTGTTGTTTCTCACTCTCCTGGAAAAACTCGGAGTTTGGAGAAGGCCCTTTTTTTATTTGACGACGAATGGAGAAGGCTCTTTCCTTATTTAACACAAAATGGCAATAGCTCTTTTCCATCCTTCAACGACGATATGAACATTGCCACATTGTCAAATACTAAATATGTCAACTCTTCAGTGGCCGATTAATGAGCAAGTCAATTTTTGAGAACTAGTCCTAAGCAGCACCTTAATTAAGGTTATCAATTTCTACAGAATATGGAATGTACCTAACTCTTGTTCAAACCTATCTATCTCCAGTTATATAAATGAATCGATAACTTATTTGTTTCAATGTAAATACACATGCAGTTCCGACATAAATATTTAGCTATATAAGACATTCACTCATTTCGTGTTACATATGAGCGTGATATGATTTATTTTCATTATTTGTTTCTTGGACACTGATAAGAACTTTCATATCGAGTAAGCCATAGTTGAAACTGAGCATGTACATATGTACGTAGGAACCATTTTAAGAAGATAAGATGAATATAAGATGTAAAAATAAGTACTCTACTCTGTGATACAATTCTTACTCTTAAAGAATAAAGTACCATTTTAAGACATCTTAAACTCTCTACAAACTGAACACATTGATGCACAAATCTCGACAAAATTTCTAAAATTATCTAGTATAATATAAATGTATTTATGTAAGTGCAAACTAAAGATTTTAAACGCAGTTTACAAAATGCTGACCTTGTCAAAACTATTAGTGATAGCAGTACTGTTTATAAATATCGGAATTCGATCAAGTTTTGGATTCTTAACTGGCCCAAGTATTTCAATTTATTTCAGAAACATCGGTAAGCGTAAGAACAAAGCAATAAACATTATTTTGTTAAATTATTATAAATAAATATGCAAATGCATGCTCACTTAGCATGCATTTGTATATTTAGCCATGCTTGTTTTCTAAATACTTAGCAATGGCGTATATCCTTGATGGTTGCATTCCCGAAATATCCCAAATATCCGGCATTGGGGACATCCATGGAATTGAGACAGATGGGAACTGTGTCAACATTTATTCCCGAAAAGACTGCGAAGTAGAGGTGAGCCGGGCCTGGACTTTTCAAAGCCCGGCCCGCCCAAGCCCGGTTCAAAAGCCCGTCTCAAAAGCCCAGGCCCGCCCAGGCCCGGAAAAATTGAGCCCAGGCCCGCCCAAGCCCATTGGGCTTTTTATTAAAAAAGCCAGCTCAGGCCCAGGCCCACCGGGCTAAGCCCACTGGGCTTTTTTTAAGGCTAGGTTTAAATGAATGATTATCAAAAATATCCATCATTCAAGATAGTTATTGAGGGGCACCCTAAAATTTATAAAATATAATTATTTAATAAGATGTACATAAATAAAAATTCAACTTCCTGAATTAAAACTGCAATTTTTAATTGATTACAGTACAATTTTCAAGCTGTGTAGTACCTGGGACTAATTTCAAGTTCCCTAAGTGTAAGATATGTTGAACATGTGCACACTGGTCCGGGTTCCTTTATTTGTTTGCCAAAACCTCTAGCTCTCGAACCATTTAATTTTTTCGTATTCTGCCTTCGGGGATCGAGATATGAAGTTCCAAGGGGCATAAGCTATGCAACTCTCATTGAAGCCACACCCCTTTGGGGGTGTGGTCACAGGTGGATATTTATTTTATTGCATTACCCCATCAAGTGGGGTGTCATTTGAAAGGTCTAATCAAGCTCTAAACAACTCCGACCATTGTTGGGACATTATCGGCACACCCACTGCCAGGGGGGTGTGGTCAAAATACAAATTTGAAAGTTTTGTTTTGATAATTCTGAGGATGTATTTTCATAAAATGACAATATTCTATAGTTTTATGAAGTATTTCTACCCTCTAGCTTGATTAACAAAGAAAATAGGACAAAAATTATAAATTTAGTTATGCCTCCTCAGGGGGTCACCAATTCCTAAAATCCCCCCGCTCGTAATTAATTTTTTAGAGGGGTTTGGTTTACCATATTTCCTTCCCCTAGGACTTGGCAAGATATTTCGAGGCGATTGTGTTATTTGGAACACTCGAAAATTTCATACGTGACAATAATGGAACACTCCAGCTATTTTGCGTATGGCAATTTGCAATTACATAAATTCAAATCTCTCTGCCTATTTATAATGGTGGCAGCTGGTGGCAGCAGTTTTTGTAGATTAGATATGGGGGATTAATAATACATTAACGGTTCATCAGAAAAGCACAGGAATAGACAGGATTTTCAACTTGAAGTTTTCCCCATTTAGCCCAATGTTTTCAGCCAAGTTTGAGTATACGCCACGCCTTCACCGGTGGAACAATCCAAATGAAACTTTCCACAATTGAACATCTATGTCAAAGGTACTGAAGGGGGTACTTCGTTTTCGAATCGGTGAGAATAGGTTTTGGCCAATAAATTCAGTATTCCGGAACAACGTGATGTGCCAAGAAGTGATTGTCCTGATTTTAGCATTAACAATAAGGATGACATACGTATGTATGTGTATATAAATATACATATTGTAATGATAACAGAAAGGAACAAGTAAATTTGTTGTGTAAGAAGATAACTGATGGGGTGAAAAACATCAAGAACTTCATGCAGTTGTACCGGTGTGCTGCAATTTTGAATATAATCTCATTCACCCCCAACAAATATGAGACTGGGTTGTTTTGATTCGGGCTTGGGCTTTTCCTAAAAAGCCCAAGCCCGGCTGGGCAGAAGCCCGCCCAGGCCCGGCCCAACTAAATTTGGTTCCTCAAAAGCCCAGGCCCGCCCAAGCCCAGTTGCTGACAGGCCCACCCGCCCAAAGCCCAATGGGCCTGGGCGGGCCCGGGCTAGCCCAGTTAAAGCCCAGGCCCGGCTCACTTCTACTGCGAAGGACACTTCCTCCGGATTCAGCCAGGTTCATCGCAGACATTCGTGGACGCAAGAGATTGGAACGACACTGCTATGACGCGCAACAAAGACATTATTTTTGGCTCAATCTGGCCATGTTTGGAGAAATGTGACCCTCAGAATTGGCTCGGAATGGAGAGGAATCTTTCAACTAGTGTCACGCTTTATAGCAAATCGGGTTACGCTGGTAAGAAGAGATTTTTGCGAACTTCGCAAAAATTGAATATCACTCTGTTTTGCTCTCACGGAGAACAGATTAATAACCTGATTGACCTGACGCATATTGCAGGAATCAATCGTACATACTCAATATCGGGGATGGAGTGCATCCCTACGCCATCCGTGAGACAGTGGGAGTCCATCAAAATTTTAGGAAACGTCACAACCACGTGTGTCGAATTACATGAAGACGCCACGTGTGGGGGGTACTCGGTGCAGGTACGGCCTGGTTACCCATACTTGAGTACGATCAACTGGTGGGGCTTCCATCGTCAGAAACATCCTCCTGTTGACGTCAGATCGATCTCACTTTGCGGAAAGAATTGCATGAATGACAACTCAACTTCAATGACCCCGGGGTGGGCAATTCTGTTAATTTTATTGGCAATCTTATTCGTCCTTGGGTTTGGGGGGTATATGTTTTTCAGCGGTATCGAAATGTACAGCTTGCCCACCCCAGTCGCCGGCTCGACACGATCGCTCTCCACACCTGTCCCAGAAATTCTGACCGCCCAAGGTCTGAAGGGGATTGATATTTATTCACACAAGTGACTGGATAGTTTATACGGAGCTCTTTTATATTAAATACGTACGTTGTGTTAATTAACATTTATGTAGATAGTGCATACAAACTATTATGGTTTATTTAACTTGTGTCGAATTATTATGCCTCATTTTGTCGTCCCATTTTCTCATTTATATATCTCGTTTTGCATTGCATTTAGTTGGCGTCCCTAATGACTGACCGTGACTTAAGTACTACCGCATGCTAACCAAACAAGTTGCGCTTTGGGTATGGACAGCGTAAAAAATTTGTAATCCTTCACACAGTGGCGAAAGAACACAACTTTTGAAAATTGATGTGAAATGGGGCAAATTGTAGTACAATTTGTACGTATGTAGATGATGATAATGTGGAAATATTATCCATTATACTCAGGGTTTTAATCAAAAAGTAACGAGCCAGGGGTTTTAATGTTTTTTTTTTGTTTTATGGGTTTTATTATGTTTTAAGCAACACACTCAACAACAAATTTTCGCAACTATTGCAGATGTATGTATATACATGTGTAAATACGTATTCTACTGACAGTTGCAATTGTACTATTGCTACTACATACTATGTATATAGATACATACATACATAGACACATATTCGTGTTTCAATGCTTAACTGCAGAAATGCACAAGCTAATAATATCCACCAATATAGCGTAATATGTATATAAGTATTTATGCAAAATATATAAATGTGTTTGTAATTGAGAAGTTAAACACCGTGTACAGTATTTCTATCTTCTAGCAGCATGCTAGCATTCAATGTAGCTACATACATAACTTTAACGACCTTCGATTAAATGTTTGTTTAAATAACTTTATCAATTTATCATTCACATAATTGGCTGTGTGCATAAACGAGTGGAAATGGTACAGATTACTTTTGTCAAGTACGCTGTCCGTGTTTTTCTTATTGAAACTCACAATTGGTTTTCCAGGTCTGCGTGCACCAAATATTTTGGACTTGTGTACAAATTTACCATGGAGAACATTATATAGGTAAGTACATACATGTGTAGGCATTATGCGTCTTCGGTCTAATGTTTATACGCATATGTACATACGAGCTAATAGATACATGGGGCAGCCATGGACAGATAACTTATAACTTAAAATTATGACGTATAACTTGACTTATAATTATAAGTATACGTCGCCTTATGGCGTTTCTATGACTTATAACTTATAAAATAAGTTATACGTCATAATTTTAAGTTATAAGTTATATGTCCATGGCTGCCCCATGTATCTAATATTGACCTATATATTATACGTGTATACTTTCTCTCCAATATTCGCATACAAGTAATTACTTATTTATGTAAATTACGAGACATATGTTGCATTTTTTGATTTTCATGCATAAAGATATTCCAAAGTAGTGCAAGATCGGGTAGAAACAAATGTGCATTAACCGAAATTTTGAATGATAAATCAATCAGCACGCGATTATAGCAGAACTCATTGTCAGATACATACATATGTATCTACAAAATAATGAGAACGGGTCCAAATGGGTTTCATAAAATTAGGAAGTATTACAACCATACTTTCTTTAGAATTAAGTAATGCTTTTGCTCTACATCATAGTTCGGCAGGAGATTTAATATGGTATTAGGATTCCTAAAAATTCACAGTAAAAAAATTGTATTTGCATTCGTACATGGAGATTTTAAGTTGCACATTAATTACAAAAAAAATTCGAATAGAATATTAGCACGGTTAGGAAATCTTTGTCATGTATACAGATAATTTGAAATTAAATGTATTGTATCATCTATTTAATAAATTTAGGCATACGATCATCACGTTTTACATGAAATGCACAAAAGAAGCTTTTAAAACACTGTACAAACTGGCACTTATAAACTTGTATATAAAAATACATATACATATTCTCTGTTCAAATGGTACTATAATTTTAGTAGAGAATATTTAATGATGTCCAGATAAGTATATAGTTCATTAGTTCAATTGTTAATGAGTTACTTTATCAAATGCATACATAGATGAGACCAAGCTCGTTTTGCGGAGTACTTTATCCGTGTCCACGTTCGGCTCGGTACGACCTCGCGCTTACTCCAGATCAGGTTGGATGGATGCATGTAAAATCGACTGTGTTTACCATGAATGTAAATACTATAGGGATTGGAATTGTATGGGTAGGAGAGCGAGACAGAATGGGGAGAGATTATGCAGGATGTTGCCTCATGCCACGATTTGGTGCCTGGTTCCGAATACGTAGTGCTTCTATAGTATTTGGTGCTTGTGCCCGATTAATTAGAGCTTTCTGTAGAATTTGGTGCCTTTGTCCGAATATTTAGTGCTTAAAAAGAATTTTAGGAATATTCTAGTGTGCTGCGGGGTTGGAAATAAGTATTGTGAATTTGTACAAGGTTTATTTCAAGTTTAGTACAACCAAAAGCAACATAAATTCAATACTTGACAGAACTATCATTTTTAACAATAAACATTACATTTTAACAATACATTTCACGAATATCACTTTCTTTCACTATCAAAAAAAAGTTTAAAGTTCAGTTAAGTGACTTTCCAAGGTGATCTTGTCAGGTAGGGGTAACTACAAGTGATATATTTGAAACTAAGGAGGAGAGATTCACCACCTGCCCTTCTCAAATGTTGATGTCCTTTGCATATGTGGTAGGGTCCTATGTGTGTACTAAAACCCTGAAGTGGTTTGACTCTATGGCCACATTTGCGACCACCACACCCACTCAAAGAGATGAAAACTACAAAAGTTACCAACTTCAAAAATCCACCAAAAATCCAATTTTGCTCGGATTTTGATAAAATTTGTATTTTTGTGATCCCAGATACTTCCATATATGTGGCTGTCTCCATGAAAAGGGACCTTATTCATACTTTTCTCATTTTGTACAAGCGGCAAAATACCAAACCAGAACACTTTCAGCGAAACCCATTTCGTCAAAAAGCTGAATTGGCGAAATATACATTAATGTTAAGCATTCCACCTCAAATTTAAAACTTAAGGTTGTACAGGGTTGCTTTACCTAATAAAAATAAAAAAATTGCGTCTTGACCTTTTTCAGGACCTTAACGTGACCTAGACACTTAACCTCGGGCGATAAACCTCAGATTTAAAACTTAACGTCATTCAGGCTTGTATTGGCCTATGCGAATCTAATTTTAGCGCCATATGAGCTACAATATTAAATTTTAAAATATTGATCTAAATTTAATCAGTATGAACATTTTCGCCAAAAGGTCGTTTTGCCATATTGTCGATGCAGCACTTTGAATTTAAATAACTTTACTTGCAATTGAGAGATTGAGCTGAAATAAATGGCAAATTAAAGCCTGAGACAAGAACTTTCCTAACAAATTAAAGTCGCTAAAGTAGATATTTGGTGAATAAGGTCCCTTTTCATGGAGACAGTCACATATATACTAGTGTGATAATGTCCAATAGCATCTCAACTTTTTGAAATTTTCGAACTTTCTGCCGATGAATTATTCAAAAAATTCAAAATTTCAAAAAAGTTGAGATATCTACTAGATATGATCATAGAAGTATCTGGGATCACAAAAATTTTATCAAAATCCGAGCAAAGAAGGATTTTTGGTGACATTTGAAGCACATGAAAACAGCTTTTTTAGTAAAATGATTAAACTATCATTCCTTGTCACAGAATGCCCCATTTTTTGCATTTTGGCCACTTTTGACCAGTTTTGACCATTTACCACCTATTTTTGTAAGTTGTCAAAAGCCACTTTTGTCCGTTTTTGACCGGCGGTCTGGCCAATCTGGTTTTTGCCTAGCGAAACACTGATTCTCAAAAACAGGGGTCCAGGCACCAAGTCGTGCAACACAAAGCCCTAACTTTGCAAAAGTTTATGACAGTCCCGTCTTGGTGCTGGATGATGACTCATCCAGCCACAACGTGACACAAATATGCATACATTTTCATAATGTAATAAATGTAATGTAATGTAATGAATGTAATAAATTAGTTTAAAAACATTGCAACGCAATTTATCAATTTATAAAATAAAACAAACCGATACAAATATTGTTAAAATTTTCACCATTTCAGAGTAACGTATTTCATGTATACACCCTTTTTAAGCCAATTCAAAGATGGAGCTGAAATCTCCTTTATAACGTTAGATGGAAGCAGATGCACAGTCTGTCTGTCTGTCTGTCTCTCGTGAACGTTCACGAGAGACAGACTGTGCATCTGCTTCCATCTAACGTTATAAAGGAGATTTCAGCTCCATCTTTGAATTGGCTTAAAAAGGGTGTATACATGAAATACGTTACTCTGAAAGTAGATATCTCAACTTTTTTGAAATTTTGAATTTTTTGAATAATTCATCGGCAGAAAGTTCGAAAATTTCAAAAAGTTGAGATGCTATTGGACATTATCACACTAGTATATATGTGACTGTCTCCATGAAAAGGGACCTTATTCACCAAATATCTACTTTAGCGACTTTAATTTGTTAGGAAAGTTCTTGTCTCAGGCTTTAATTTGCCATTTATTTCAGCTCAATCTCTCAATTGCAAGTAAAGTTATTTAAATTCAAAGTGCTGCATCGACAATATGGCAAAACGACCTTTTGGCGAAAATGTTCATACTGATTAAATTTAGATCAATATTTTAAAATTTAATATTGTAGCTCATATGGCGCTAAAATTAGATTCGCATAGGCCAATACAAGCCTGAATGACGTTAAGTTTTAAATCTGAGGTTTATCGCCCGAGGTTAAGTGTCTAGGTCACGTTAAGGTCCTGAAAAAGGTCAAGACGCAATTTTTTTATTTTTATTAGGTAAAGCAACCCTGTACAACCTTAAGTTTTAAATTTGAGGTGGAATGCTTAACATTAATGTATATTTCGCCAATTCAGCTTTTTGACGAAATGGGTTTCGCTGAAAGTGTTCTGGTTTGGTATTTTGCCGCTTGTACAAAATGAGAAAAGTATGAATAAGGTCCCTTTTCATGGAGACAGCCACATATATGGAAGTATCTGGGATCACAAAAATACAAATTTTATCAAAATCCGAGCAAAATTGGATTTTTGGTGGATTTTTGAAGTTGGTAACTTTTGTAGTTTTCATCTCTTTGAGTGGGTGTGGTGGTCGCAAATGTGGCCATAGAGTCAAACCACTTCAGGGTTTTAGTACACACATAGGACCCTACCACATATGCAAAGGACATCAACATTTGAGAAGGGCAGGTGGTGAATCTCTCCTCCTTAGTTTCAAATATATCACTTGTAGTTACCCCTACCTGACAAGATCACCTTGGAAAGTCACTTAACTGAACTTTAAACTTTTTTTTGATAGTGAAAGAAAGTGATATTCGTGAAATGTATTGTTAAAATGTAATGTTTATTGTTAAAAATGATAGTTCTGTCAAGTATTGAATTTATGTTGCTTTTGGTTGTACTAAACTTGAAATAAACCTTGTACAAATTCACAATACTTATTTCCAACCCCGCAGCACACTAGAATATTCCTAAAATTCTTTTTAAGCACTAAATATTCGGACAAAGGCACCAAATTCTACAGAAAGCTCTAATTAATCGGGCACAAGCACCAAATACTATAGAAGCACTACGTATTCGGAACCAGGCACCAAATCGTGGCATGAGGCAACATCCTGCATAATCTCTCCCCATTCTGTCTCGCTCTCCTACCCATACAATTCCAATCCCTATAGTATTTACATTCATGGTTTGCAGGGTAAAGTTTACACTGTGTAGAGTAAAATACCGAACAGGCTGCATATTTACATACATTCTTTACATTACATTGCATTGCATAGTATTTTCTATTTAGGTAAAGACAAAATGCGAAAAAATCAGTTTTTTAAAGACTTTAACGTTTTAACTAATTTGTACTTGACACCTTCTGAAACATCGTCATAACTAAACACTAAAGTTATCAAAATCCATTTGTAGTACAAATTTTGTACACATCGAATTTAGGAATTTATAACATTGAATGTTAAATTAAAACAAGTAAGAAATTCTTACTAAGAAATTCTTCCCATATTTACTTAATTGTAAGTTTTAAGTGTCTAAGATTTGAGTTTTTCTCATAATTCACAATCGCAAGTTGTGAATTTTGTTAGGGTTCGAACCAAATTTACGCAAGCACTTTGTGTAATCTTAGATTACTAATCTACCTTATTTACATACATGCATACCTTTTTTATTTTTTTACATTGTATGCTAATTTTTTAGATGGAATTGGCAATCATTGGACAACAGCCTCATGGCGAAATATCGTCCCCAAGTCCGTACGTCCGCCTGGATCGTGAACCCAATATTGAATCGTTCCTCTGCAAAGGCACACCTCCTCCAAAGAATGACGTTTGCTTCGCTTGTGGAGGGTCCCCCTTCATCCAGAAAGGTCAATCGGTTCGACGCCACATGGAGATAATCGCCCTATTCAAGGATCTCGTTATTACGCCTCCATTTCGAGCTAAACTGTCCCCCAAGACTTATAACCAATTTGTCGCCAATGTTGCCGCTTGTGAAAATTGCTGCACGCTGGTGAGGGAGATTTGGGGGGTAAGACTACGGCTCATCTCGACCCAGAAGCATTTGGACAGGCTGGTCGCGAAAGGAAGGGAAACATTACTAATATCTCAAGCAAGAAAGCGGAAGAGAAGTAAATGTTCTGTATTTTCTAAACTTTAATAGGACGAAATTTGGTGAAAGAATGTCATGAATTTGGCAAGTAAGTGAAATCTCGTGCACACGATTAGTCACAAATTGGTCAGACTGAAAAATTGCCACCGCGCGCTGCCGCAAACTTGGTCGGCGTCGATGGGTCATAATTACAGAAAAAAAATTTTAATCGGAAAATTATATGCAGACAATATTACTTTCGTCGCCTCCTCTCCTCAGGATCCCATCCCCCCAGAAGAACTTGACGCGTTACCTGACGTAGTCGTGAAAGAAGAGGTCGATGACGACATTTATTTTGATGAAGTTATCTTTCCCACAAATTCAGAAGAAAGTGACCACCATCAAGAGATCCAGCCAATTATAGAAACTACTGAATCTAGCCCTAGTCAACATGAAGTTGGCCACAATTCAGATGACGAGCCTTCGCAAATTTTAACCCTCGACGAAGATAAGAAAAACTTTGAAAATTGCCAATCAAGGTAAAATTCGCAATTAATCAGCAAAATTAATCAATCATTGTTACTAATCACCGCAATTTTAGCAAGGAACATCCACTTGATTATTTCTCGTCTTCTGAGCATCAACCTAAATCCCCATCGGAGAAAATAAAGCGTCGAAGAAGACGCAAAGCTAAAATTCAAAGGGTCACACACGTTCCTCTCCCACCCCCACCTACAAAATATCTATGTTCCAAATGTGGCAAAGAATTCAAAACTTCGATATCCCTGCTTTCGCATGAAGTCACAGTCTGCAAAATTTTACATGACAAACTTTACCTGGAATCAAGGGGGCTAAAAAGGTACGAATGTGACCACTGTGACACGAAGTTCGTTAGTCACAAAGATTATGAAAGGTATATTAATTTCAGAAATTTTAATGTGTCCTGCTAAAAATTTTCATAAAAAATGTGCTCTTTTTTAGGCACTATTTACGCCACATCTCTGTAAAACAACATCCTTGCCATCAATGTGGAAAATCCTTCAAGCAAATCTATAATTTACGCGTTCATCAAAAATCTGCATGTCGTCAGGCTTCCGAAATTGATATCGCTGCAAAAAATAAACGCCTCGAGGTGGGGCGTATCATACGGGCCAAATATGTCCACAAGTGTCCCAACTGTTCGCGAAAATTTCCCTCCACAGCCAAGCGCGACGAGCATGTCGCCAATGTACACAATGAGACGGACGAAAAATTTGCAATATGTGACATCTGCGGCGTCTCTATATCTACAAAGGGCGGAAGTGGAAATATGCGAGAGCATTTGAGCCGTGTCCACTTGAGGGTGGCGAGATGGACCTGTCCCCACTGCAAGAAAGGCTTCTTCCAAAAGCGAGATTGGGCAAGTCACGTGGAACGTGTGCACGGCAATATTCCTGGAGATAAGGTGACCTGATAGAGTGACCTCAAGTACCCAAATATCACGATACGCACAACGTCAAGTCACAAATTATTTACTTTTTAAAACATTTTGGTACAATAAACGTACGGAATTCAAGTTACAATTGTGTACACATTTTTTGATTGCGTGAATGTCTAAGGAAAAGGAAAAGAGAACGCGTCCTTGCCAAAATTTGAGCACTAAAGATGATAAGTCCCTTATTTATTCATGTATTTCAAAATATTCTAGGCGGAGACCTGTCGAGTGTCGACATGAATATTTGTGGCGTGAGGATTTTATTACAGGATAAGCTACATACACACTTTGCCATGGTCATGAATTCATGCTGCTTTTCCTTTCATGCAAAAATTTGATTACTTTTTATAAAAATGGCAAATGTGTATGTAGGTTTTAGCATACCTATTCAGTTTTAGTGTACGAGGTTCCAGCACATCATATAGATTGTTCGTGCAAATGATGACATAATTTAACGCCATGGTGGCATATCACAGTTTTTAAATATATTTGCATAACTGCAATTTGGTTCTTTCAATTCAAGACGAGCTTGATAAAATTGCAGGCGTTATTTGAGTCTCAATTTTAGACGATCGTCCTCATTTTGCTGAGTACGTTGTCCGTGCTTCTTTTTTGTCAGGAGACCTCTCGCTTACCCCGGATCAAGTTGGAGATGGATCGAACCCAGAAAATCGACCACAAAAACATGCCATGAAATCCAACTTCCATATTACGGAGTTCAGGCAAATCTGCATGATTATTTTGCGAGGATTATTTTGCACAATTATTTTGCATGTTTGCATTTCCCATATTACAATTATCTGCCATGAAATCTACACTGTGTGAACGAGTTAAGTGTATGTAAGCATAAAAATTGTTTGCTTTTTAGGGGATGCGGATTTCATGATCAATGATTATTTTACCCATGTATTTATTCATTTTTGTGATTTTTATCATATTTATATATTTATACGTAAAGTAATTGATGTTGTGCATGCAAAATATTACCTTATTGTTAGTCAGTGAACGAGATATATGTAAAATCCTCGAGATTTTCCATAAAATTTGCAGCAAAATACACGATTTCCATAGTTCTTGGTAACATTGTAAAATCCACAAATTCTAAAATTTTACACACTTTTGTAAATATTTCTACCTAAGGAAAATTAGGTTACAAATTTTTCTAAACTTGCATAGGTCAAAGGCGTCTTTCGATTTTGTAAAAGTTTGGAACATTAGAGATGGACATGAATCTTTACTGTGATTTATTTCTTTATGTATTCTTATCTTACTCTAAACAAAAGAATGCAGAATGGATTTCACTCTTCGAAAAGTGGCATTACATAATTACGGACCGGATTACATCTTCCATAACGTTATTTTCCTCCGCATCGTCGTAATCACTGCAACTCCTTGTGGCGTTGTGGCTAATCCGCCTTAAATTTAAGATGTCCCGGAATTATCAGTGTTTCTAAAGGTAGTGCAGATTTTACGATAAGGTCCGCCATCCTTCTTAAGGTCTTCCATCCACCCGTTGCGTCGTATATTTTATATTTAATTGGAACGCCCGCATGGTCTGAGCAAGTTTACAAAAATGTGTGAGCTAATTTTCTGTAGAACTGCTTGTAAGATTTTGTAAAATTTTGCAAGTTTTCAAGAACTTTATAATGTTACCAAGGCCGGTTTGTAAAGGTTACACAATACATACTTATATACACATACCTACTAATGAATCTCATCTCACTCAGGATCAATTACTTCTACCTACCCCGGTTGACATGATTCGAATTAAACGTCACCGTACCGGACATGATTCAAAAAATTGCAAAGTTTAAATTACTCGGATATTTCTAACTCGGTAAATTATGTAAGCTTATTTATAAAATTATTTTATACCCTTGCCAAGGTCACTTTGTACGGAGCATTAGGCCCAAAAATCGCACATACATGTCACATGCACTGCTTTATATTTTTACATATTTTTCCAGGAGTTGATTGATGAACTTGGTATTTAATTCAAGCTTTTTCATTCATATTTGCATGGAAAACTGATGAGCGAATTGATACACGCGTGCATACATACAGAATAAATTATTCAACATTCATTTTTAATCTTATCTAATCAAATTCAAATCATAACTACATATCGAATTGGTAATATCTATAAAAAGCATGACTCTGGTAACAACGATAATTTAAGGCACACGATTTTTTAATAAAAACACGAAAGACTAAACCTAAAAACAAACGGTACCTATCCAGAGTATGTAAGTAAATTGAAGTTCATCATTTTTAATTGGGTGGCACTGTTCTGATGTAAATATAATCATTTTACATTGGAGTTGACACTCATATCGCCACTGGTCGCTGGTAATGATTCCTGTGCGGATAACTTCTCCGTCCTTCGCCTCGTCATCCAATTATTCCACACGTTTGGGAACATGTCAGTGAGTGGGAGGTCGGCAGGGAACTCGATTTGCGACCAAGCATGTTCTGCACGAGGGACGTAGATCAAGTTCCCTCAAGGTGACACATCTCGTCTCAATCGGCTCCCCATTTCTGTCACGCGTGGGGAAAAAAATCTCCAGTTTATCCCGTTGATCTGCCCATGAAACAGTGATTGGGTGGACACAGGGGAACATGGATAGCGAGAGGGCATCAAGTCTGGGAAGGTGCCTCTCATAGTCGAGGACATAGTTGTTATCATGGCCAGCAGAAGGGAAACGAATTCTCAGGTCGGAAATTTGCCACCATCCGATCGAAAGCCTTCTCAGCCGGGGAAGAATTGGGAGATGGAGAACTTGGAGATATTCTTGGTGGACGCAATAAATGAACTCAAACTCTTCCAATGTGCCGGCGTGCTTCTGGACTAAATTTTCCAACCTGATGAAATTATCTAGTAGTTCCAAACACATCAACCTGTTCAGTTTCAACGACTTCAAAGGATTAGTCAACTTCAGGAGTAAGTCGAGAACGATTGGCCCTGTCGATTTGCCAGTAAAAGCTTCCAATTTTGGAAGGGGCTTTTCATACTGTAGTAAACAGTTGACGAATTTCCCTTCGTCGTGAAAATGGCAATTAAGTTTCATGGTTTTTATGCCTTGAACTGCTGCCGCCCAGGAGGACATGATCACCTGGTTGGCGATAGCACCTTCGTAGCTCGTTGAAATGGAGAAGGTGAATACTTCGAGCTTGTCAAGATGAAGGTCTTCCGTCGGAAATGCGAAGTCATCACTGGATTCATCCCATAAGTCAAAATACCAAGATAACTCTAGATCGCAAAGGGTTGCTTGAAGTTTGATGAGAATGCCGAGATGCATTTTATAATCGGATCCTGCATAGATTGGTCCACCCAAATTCAATCGTGTGATGTGACGAGATCGATCCAGTAGCAGAAACCTGTTCAGATCGTCGACCAGTTTCACGGCCAGTTGTCCTCCTTCCGAGTTCTGATGCGCTGGCGGGAAAGGCGGGAGCTTTAAGTTTAAACTGTTGGGTTGGAGGTTTTCCATTTCTTTAACGTATCGAAGCAACCTCATCGACCCCACTGGGTGTTGATAATTGTGTCGGAAATTAAGGTCCCAGGAAACAGTGGATATTTTCTTTAGAATCCGAGCAGCTTCCTCGTCCCATTGGCTGCATACTAATCGTGCCATTTTGAGAGTGTTGAACGGGAGGTAAGAAAAAATGTGGGACAAGACCTGCCAAAAATTATAAACATGTTAGTTGGTATGTTAGGTAACCAGTATCAAGCATGCTAAGAATTATGGCCAATTTACGACTCACGAGGTAATTTTGTCCTGGCGTGAAGTCGACTTTGTCCTCGTCATCTGGAATGCTCGGATCCTCTCCTTCTTGAAGCTCGATGGCGCGACGACCTTCCTAATAATTACAATAATTAATAATAAATTTGAAATTAGTCCTCTAGTCATTCCCTAAATCGAATAAATTGAAACCTTACTTTAAATAGGAAGAATCCATTCAGAGATTCGTGTTTAATCTCTCGATTAAGTCCACGTTTCGGTCGAACTTTTCCGAGTAAAGCGATCTTGTCTTCATGGTTGAGTTTCGTGCGACAGTTTTTCTCCAACCGGTCATCATTGACCAAAACAATCCGTTTCTATATATTTTTAAAACAAAAGAATCATAGTATAATTATAAAATGAGTTCCTAGTAACTTAATTTGCAATGAAGCTAATCAATTATCGCATAAGACTTACCCCGGCCGGTGTGATCCAGTAATTTCCACCTGAACAGGTAATCTCGGCCAGATTTCCGGGATTTTTCTTGGTCTGGACAAAGATGAATTCGCCTTGTTCCACCCTCGAGGCGTACTTGCTTCCGAACGTGTACTGATAAGGACAATTATGTATGTACTTCGTAACAGGTTTATAAAATGTCGCCCAGATAACCGATGAGAATTAGTCGACAAATTCACTCACCTTTTGATTTTCGATGTAGGGCAAGATGGAATATTGCTGCCATTCCCTATCAGCATTATTTTCTTCAGTGGCACACCCACAACTACTTGGGCCCCACGTATGTTTCCGACATGAATGGCAATATCGACAATTTGGTTCAAGAAGAATTGCGTCTTCCTCTTCCATTTTATTGGCTCCTCACAATAACAATGTGCTCACAAATGTGTAAAAATTCTAATAATTGGAATAGACGCAAATTTAAAATATTTAAAATTCGAAATTTATATTCTTGACTGTTGAACGGAATTTGTTGACTCACACCTGCTCGACGATTGCTTTGAAAGTCCCGCCGGAAAAAATTACAAAATTCAATGGGTCGTTCGCACCCATAACTCTAGGGGTACGGGCCATTATGAATTTACATAAAATGTAAAATTATTGGAAATGTTGCACAGACTGCAATTTTCAGTCTGCAAAACATCGACATCTCTGAATTCGCATGAAGTCACAGTCTGCAAAATTAAAATTTAATACATCAAACTTTACCTGGAATCGATGGGACTTTAAAATGTATGCGAATGTGAAATGACATCATGCTAAATTAATGAAGCACGACGATTATGAAAGGTGTATTAATCTTCAGGAAGTGTAAAGTTTCCTGCTAAAATTATTCACAAAAAAATTGCGTGCGGATAATACGGGCCAAAGATGTCCCAACTGTGCACCAAAATTTCCCTCCACAACCAAGCACGACAAACATGTCGCTAAAGTAAACAATGTGACCAGCAGTGGCGAAAAATTCGCAATATGTGACATCTGCTTGCGAAGAACGTTGATGGAAATATGGGAAAACATTTGAGTCGAGTTCACTTAAAGTCGACATGGAAAAGAGAACGCGTCGGTGTCAAAGTTTAAACACTATAATTATTAATAATTAATCATGCAAAATTTATTATTCATTTATTTCAAAATATTCTAAGCATAGAACTGCCGATATGAATATTGTTCGCGTGATGTTTTTAAGCTGCATACATTGAATGTACTTACATAAGGTATGCATATGCATAAATATGCAATGCATGCACTTAAAGTATGATACTTTGTTATGGCGATGAATTTATGGTGCTTTTCATTTCTATGTAAAAATTGTAGCATTTATTATCTCGAAAATGGTAAGGATACGTTTTCATACAATATGCGATTTTCCAGCATATCCTATACTGACAACTGAGGGAATTCACGCCGTTATCTATTGGTAACTTGTAAAATTTGTAAGTTTGGTAAAAATAATTTTACAAACTTTTACAACATAAAGAGACGCCCTTGATATGAGCAAGCTTCCAAAAATGTGTAAGATAATTTTCCTTACATAATGTTTGTAAAATTGTACAGTATTTACGGATCTTGCAATGCTTTCAAGGCTACAATTCACTAGTTTTTTTCGTGCCAAAAATATATCAGTTTTAAAATATATTTGCATGGGTGCAATGTGATTCATTCCATCGCATTCCATTCACGATGAGCCTGATAAAATTGCAGGCTTAAATTGAGTCTCAATTTGAGACGCTAGTCCTCATTTTGCTGAGTACGTTGTCCGTGCTTGTTTTTTGTCAGGAGACCTCTCGCTTACCCCGGATCAAGTTGGAGATGGATCGAACCCAGAAAATCGACCACAAACACATGCCATGAAATCCACACAATGTGAACGGGTAGCGTAATAAAGCTCATTTGCTTCTTACGGGATGCGGACTTCACGATAAATGATATTTTACCTATGTATGTACATAGTTATTTATTCCAGTGGTTTTTATCGCATTTATTTATACATGAGCATAAATATGGTATGTATAGAATTTGGAATTCAGGGTCATTTTACGGCCTAAATTTAATGCACCACTTAATAAGCTGAAACTTCCCACTTTTTTTACTCTACCTACTACTAGCTGAAATCTCCACTCTGTCGGTTTTTTCCACCCACCTATTTAGCTAGTCGTGGTCACTAGTTACTTATCTTATTGCTCAATTGAAGAATTTAAGCACAAAAACCAAAATCTAAGCTAAATTATGCAGAAATTCTCATAATACTTTAAAAGCTTATTTCTGATTTACATTTAAAGAATTTAAGCACTAATATGAGCTCGGGTAACGCTTTCCCTCTTGGGTAAAGGAACGGTTTTACCTTCCGCGCCAACTTCGTGCAACTTTTCTTGAATTGCTAGTCCAATTATAGGCTTTCAAATGCATCCACTCGTCAATGTACGATTTTACTATCCATAATCGGTAAATAAAGGCTGTGCAAGTTTCAAACTATTAGGGGGATAAAAAAGCCGACAAAGTGGAGGTTTCAGCTAGTGCATGGTAGGGTCAAAACAAGTGGGAAGTTTCAGCTAAATAAGTGGGAGGTTAAATCTAACCCGATATCTAGTTACTAGATTCTAGTACATTTTGCAGGACTTACTTATTTTACGAGAAAGATACTTATCAATCACTACGCATTAAATGTATTTAAAAATATGCACATTCTATTAAATACTTCTTCAGGCTGAAGACTTCAGCCTAGCACAATATATGTATATACATACTTATCGGATCCAATTGTTAATACATAAACCTCACAATCAGTCGTAGGTCTTAACCGACTTTAATTTTACTGTCTTACATTTTTAATGTACTCAAAAGCGACGTGGACAGTAAGATTGTACCGTATTAATGGTAAATATGTAGGGATACTTTGATTTTTAAATATTAACTTCCAAATTAAATTCATATACATACATACATAGGTATGTAGGTCAATAATACTGGAATTCGGTATCAACATCACTCATTTGACTCATTACAAAAAAACTACAAAAAATAATAATAAAGAACGGTAAATTCACACCGTTACGCCATAATCTAATGAAGAGCTTAAAACTGTACGTTAATGCAATCTATGATAAACTAAAATTGAAATTGCTCGGGTTCGTAGCAATCAGAATTTCGTTGTCCGTCCCAACCTTTTGACCATCATGCTGGATCGTCGCTGTCTTCGACTTTCTAGGTCCACCACCTTTTTTCCTTCCAATTAATCCATGCACAGTTTTTACGTGACGAGATAGATTCTTCCCAGTTTTAAAAGCTTTTCCACATTGTTCACAAATTTCGTTCCTATCATCGGAATGGGTTCGAAGATGACATCGTAACACGGCACTGAAGAAAAAGGTGGCCCCACAAATCTAGAGGCAAAAAAAATTAGTTTCACTTGGTTTCAAAATTTGAATTTTAAAATTCCTCATGTATGTACGTACATTGCACGCGTGCCGTTTTATTCCCGAGTGAGTAATTTTGTGGCGTTTGAATCCACTTGATGAAGTAAACGTATCGCCACTGATGCAAATAAAACTTTTTTTATTTTTATCCCAAAAATTAAAGTGTTTAGTTATGATTTCTTTAAATTACCATTCCTCGCAAACTATCGGTGCAGCATTGTGCTCACGGATGCTGTGAGCGTTTAAAGCTTCTCCATCCTTAAATTTTCCTCCACACTGGGTGCACTCGTACTTTTTCACATTTTCGTGAACTTTGTCCACGTGAGCTTTTAATAATCGTTTGAAAACAAACACTCTCCCACAAATGGGACACTCGTGTCTTTCTGGAATGTGGCAACGTATTTTGTGCGCTTTTCTTGCGTCTGGATCGATAAAGGCTTCCTCGCACTGGTCACATTTAAAGGGTCTTTCCCCAGTATGGTTGCGAATATGTCTGAAAAAATATGCATAAATTATTCCGATATTTGGAAGTATTTGGAACTCACAATGGAGGTTTCCCAGTGTATTGCATATGTATGCTCTCGTATTGTAATGAAATGAGTGTCAATCGATCACAAATTTAGTTCATATAAAATTTGCAAAAGACACGAATGTCACGTTTGGCGGAGATATTTGCATCTGAATAGGAGTAGGAGAAAAGGCAAAATTAAGTTTACACTCCAAATTTACAGTGCGTTTTCTCTTCTTTGGATGATGAAAATATCTCCGTCAAACATGAGGATTGACAGATCGTGTCTTTTTGCAAAATTCATGTTAACACAAGTTTGGCCAAAATTTGTGAGGATACGCATTATGTTGGGAGACCTCAATTGTCACCAAATTATGTAACATTTTTTTCTTCACAAAATTATTTCGTACCTTTGCCAAGATCTTTTTGCACGGAGCGTTAACCCACAAAAGTCGCACACCCATATGACATGCACCACATTATGTTTCTCCAGTTGGACTTGATCTATAAATCTGGCGTCACAAACGGTACAGACGACGGGTTTGCTCTCATCGAGTTTGTGGCGTTCCATGTGACTTTCAAAATTAACCTCGAGGGAGAAACCTTTCCCACATTTTTTACAGAAATGTAATTTTTCCTCCGTTTCGTGTCGCACGATCATGTGAGAGTCCAAAAGTGACTGCGCTTCGTACTTTTTTTGACAGATTTGACACTGAAATTGGCAAAATCCTTTGTGTTCCTGGCGCAAGTGGAGGGTCAGATGTTTTTCTCTTCGAAATCGAGAAAGACACGCCGCACAAGAGAATATGTAACAAGATTCGTCATATTTTTTGCGTTTTGCGTATTTTTTGGGACGATTTCTTGTCGGACGAGTGGAGGGCTTGCTTTCTGGATCTTTTTCGGTTATTTTTGTCGTTTTAGTTCTGTTACTTCTAAAAAGAAAATATGATTTTTTGAACTTTTAAGTAAATAAACTTTAGAATTTCTTACTTTCTCTTCTTATCATTATCTGGCGTTATATAAAAATGAGATCCGTCGCTGCTGGTTGAACCATCGTCATCGTCAGAGGAGTCGCTTCCTTCACCAGCGCCCAGTTGTAAATGAGAAAGTGGGTCGACCTGATCTTCTGAGTGGTTCGAGAATGTTGGGGACGGACAGGGAATGTCGTCTTGTGGGGGGAATCGTTCTTGAAAATCCTCGGGTTCTACTTTGACTTTAAGATCAGTAAGACTTTGGGAAGTTTCGCCTAAAAAACGAAAATTAGGCAATAAAGTTTACAAAATCCAAAAATTATTGATTATTTTTAAATGCTAACCTAACGAAACTAATGACCTCCTAATTCTTTGCAAAGGATCTTCAATTTTTGCATCTTTTGCAAAAGAATTTGACACGGTTGTTTTTAATTCTTGCACTTTTCTCGCAATCTGTTCTTCCAGTTGGGATATTTGTAGCTTGTTTTCTTCAATTTCTTTCGCCGATAAGAAACAATCCTGACACAGTTTAAATCCGTCGGAATCTTCGATTTGTGCAATAATTTTCTTATGTTGGGTGGAAGTGCGGTGTCCTGGAACAAGGAGGTCGTAAAGTCTGAGAATTTGTGCCTTTATTGACCCCTTGTTGGCAAGGGGAGGACTGATATCTTTGTCCAGACTAGATAAGCACAGGAGACAGTGAAAGGTTGTCATGATGGTTTGTGGTTGATCGTAAAACCTGCAAACCAAGAGAAGTTTCAGATTTATTTAGTTACATAATCACTGTACCATTTCTTTAAGGATTTAATCTGCATAAAGTATGTAAGTATGTAATTTAGGAGATAAGAAGCTCAATAGAAATGAACTCCGAAAATTATGAACATAATTTTGTGCATAATTTTGTGCATAATTTTGAACATAATTGTGCAAACTTTGCACTACACTACAAAACTAATGACTAATTACTAAAATATTTTTTCTATTTTACTCTAAAAAAATGTAGTTAAAATATTGCAACCTTACCTAGTATTTTAGCAGTTACGGCAAATAATATACTTCAAAGAATTTTGTAAAAACTCTTTCAAAATTCAAGCAACAGCTTCAATAATTAATTTGTAAATTTAAATTGACTGAATGTTTACACCCGCAAGTTTATAAAATGAGTGAAAAGACTTCAGCTGACTTTGAATTTGCAGGAAAAATCCCACCTGAATCGCGCATGCAAGTTGTACCCTTACTTTGTTGCGTCAAAAAAGTTGCATGCAAATAAATGCATCCATGTACACGTCATTTACATATTCATAGCGTGTTAATCCCCTTCACGGTTGATTTGGTTTACAACCATGGAAGAGAAATACAAGATCTCTCATATATGGTTTACAACAAAATAAGTTAATACTTAATTACGAATAATACGTGGGAATTTACAAGACTGAAAGATGATAAGACTTGTGCAAGAAAAAGAATAAATTATCCAATAGATGATAAATCGAAATCGCTTTACTTATTCGCAAAAATAAATGTAGGAATGTATGCACAGAAATGAGAAAAATGCATTTATTCAAGAAGCTAGTATATTGGTAAGTAAATAAGTACATTAAATGCATAACTTGGCATATCAAAATATTCATGTAATTTATTTTAAAAACATTCTAAACACCTTTTTATGAATCCGGATGAATTTTTTTCAAAGCGCTATCCAAGCTTTTATAAGCAGCTTCCAATTTATCCTCCATGGCACAAATGCGACCCAGCAATTTCTCAATTTCTTCCAAGCGTTCCCCCGCTTTACAGGATGTCCAATATTGCGCCGCTGCCGCGCCGACCCCTAAAACGACAGTCACCACGCTTAAGGCAGTACCCCAGGTTGTACTAAGGAAACTTGTTCCCGTCGCAAAACGAGTTATTCCAGCTCTAGCTGCGCATTCGACTTGGCCCTTGCCTTAATTTCGGCAATACTTACTTTTGCATTGCCTGCCATCACCTTGATATCACCTGAAAATTATGATTAGTAAATAATGGATTAAACAACTTAGGATTAGAATAAAGGCCTCACCGCATATGCTCTCGGATTTTGACCAAATTAGTGTCGATCTTTCACAAATTTAATCAATATGGGAACATCCATAAGTAAAAAAAAAAATGGCAATCCTTTGCAAACCCCTTCCCTGTCCTACTCATGTTAAGATTAAAACGAGTAAAATAGACGGCCCAAAACCAGCCACTCAACTTTTTGATGACGTAATATGTAGACCACCCTTATGGCATTTGCACGATCTCCAACGTACATACATATCTCCACCAAACGTGAAGCGAATATCTATATCCGCTAAACGTGACTATTTGGTAGATCGCGACTTTTGCAAATTTCGTCTTATTTAATTAAATTTGCGATCGATTGACACTAATTTCGTCATAATCGGAGAGCATACGCTGAGAAACCTCCATTCTTATCTAGTAATTTTTAGTGTCACCTACATATTTCCTGAGATATATCTTGGTATCTCAGTTTAAGCTGGAGTCCTTTGTCAACCAACTTCTGTTGAGGTGAATTGTTCCGACATTTTCCAAACGAGACAGGCATATCTTCCTGTTCGGTGATATATTGGTCAACCTCAGTTGACCACGTCTTTTTGAAATTTTTCCACGTCCCTGCCAACTTTTTGGGTACTTTGATTCATGCCAGAAATTGAAGAGATGATCGTAAAAATTTCCCAAATACAGGCGGCACATTGTACCAAGTTGAACGCAGTCTTAACCAGTTCAGCTTTATAAGCTTGATTAGCCACGTGAAGTTGTACTTTAGAAAGTTCTTTATGGACAAGGGTACATCCATGCTTGCTTACAAATTCGGATGGATTTTTCGCAATAGCTTCCAAGTTTTCGTAACCTAGAACATATGCATGTAGATAAATTGCAAATTTAGGAAAAGTTAAGTAAACTTTTTTAACAAGTAAGGTTGGCATGCAGTTAGGAATCTGGTATAGATTGCAGGTATTGATTTCTCGGTATTAAAATTATACCTGGCTGTAAAAATTTGCTACCGATATGATAAAGCTTTAATCCCGAGGGTTAGTACATATTAGCCGCCGTTCATAAATATGACATATGTTAAAGGGGAGAGGGGGGTCTAGAAAATCGTCGTTTTTACATGATTTATGAGCGGCCCCTTATCAATACCACTTTGGTAATATAGAGTAATATACTAATACCGCTCGGTATTATTTTAACCCTGGATTTCTAAGAGTGAACAAATTATATACCTGCTTTTCCACACAAATCTTTGAATATTTCATTTTCTGATAAAGACTTGAGTCCATCTTCAACCAGTTTCGCTTTCCCGTCGAGACACTGTTTCTGCAGTGTTTCCAAGGGTGACATGAAATTGAATATGTTTTTTCCAGTTTGGACTGAATTTGCTATGTTTAAAGTCTTCATCAGGGTAGGAAGTGACTGCAATTCAAACATATTCTTTAGTAGTTGGTATTTCAATATTTTGCATAAAATAACAGACTCGGTGTCTCCTAAGTATATAGTTGAAATAACTCGTAAAATTGTTACCACTAGATTAGTGTCTTCTTTCTCCATGTCCTCGTTTGATTTGCTCTTATATTTCGAACTCATATTAAAATTCCACGCTCTAGTACAAAGAATATTTTACCGTCTGAATTCGATATTCTGATGTGCGAAAGCTTTTATTGCTCTTGCAAAAAATTGCAAACATGATTACAAATGTATTTACATGTGTACATTATGTATGTAGGTATGTCTGTTTTCCAAGATATTTCCAACAATATTTCCAACGCACTGACCGAGTTTACTTATTCATAAATCGTGTATGGTATAGAATTTGTTTCTTTTTTGCACGGATGAAATTGGGTAAAACTAACAAATTTGTAATCTTTGTAATAAATAAAAAAAACATTGTACACAAATACAGAGAACGCAAGTATGCATGTAAATATATACGTATTTAGTTACCCATTTATTTTAAGACATGCAAACATCCAGATAGATGTAATTTGCATGAAAAGAATTTCACAGTGTCAGTTACTCCAATTTCGAAGGTATTGCATATGTACATACATATACACATAGATGTCTAATTCTGGAATTAAATACATATTTACATATGTACATAATACAGAAAATAAGTACATATTTAAGTCAAGGATGTTGATCCTTCCAAGTATTCGACAATACTTCGGCGGATGTTGACTTATCTCCTGTGCAACTACTGAAGTAAAATTTGCAAACAACCTAGTTTCAGAAGTGCGTCAGTTAAGTTATATATTGACCCTAGATTTATGTTCAAGAGGAACATATGTATGTAGATACATACAGTGGGTTGCCAAAAGTATTGGTGGTCAATTTTGTGCTCGGTACCGTGTGGGATATTTTTGCTAAGGGATAACCACGGACTAATTCTAAAGGCATTTTTTACAACCAAATAAATGGACAAGAAAATAGTTCAAACAGAATTTGAAAATCTTACCCCGTTCGGGGGAAACTGAGAAAAAACTTCAAAAACGGCATAAAAAATTGTGACAAAAGTAATGGTGGTGGTATATTTTTTATATCTACAGGCCTTACACATCTGAATTACTAGTCGCAACTTTAGTACCATACTCTTGTATGTTCATTACACTGACAATTTATTAAATATGGCCAAAATAGGCGAGTTGTACATCGCTGGGAAAAATTTATCAACAGCACGCACGGCATGGGGGTTGCACCCCAAAATCTTATCCTTCTGACCTCATTGAAGCTCTGGAAAATTCAGAATATCATCAGGAAGTTCAATTAGACTTGTTCCGTGATGAATACGACAAGATATGACTGAACAAAGGCCACCACACAACACCAAAGCTGAAAAATGATCACCTACGGTAATGACAGCGGTATTCCAAAGGTCGCAGGCGTCACCAAAAAGTTAATACAATACACACTGTACAGATTCATTGTGCTAATAATCAAACTAAGGTCCTCCACTTTATTTTATGACACGCACCCCATCCAATCATTGAATCTGGTCGAGACCTTTGGAATACCGCTGTCATTACCGCAGGTGATCATTTTTCAGCTTTGGTGTTGTGTGGTGGCCTTTGTTCAGTCATATCTTGTCGTATTCATCACGGAACAAGTCTAATTGAACTTCCTGATGATATTCTGAATTTTCCAGAGCTTCAATGAGGTCAGAAGGATAAGATTTTGGGGTGCAACCCCCATGCCGTGCGTGCTGTTGATAAATTTTTCCCAGCGATGTACAACTCGCCTATTTTGGCCATATTTAATAAATTGTCAGTGTAATGAACATACAAGAGTATGGTACTAAAGTTGCGACTAGTAATTCAGATGTGTAAGGCCTGTAGATATAAAAAATATACCACCACCATTACTTTTGTCACAATTTTTTATGCCGTTTTTGAAGTTTTTTCTCAGTTTCCCCCGAACGGGGTAAGATTTTCAAATTCTGTTTGAACTATTTTCTTGTCCATTTATTTGGTTGTAAAAAATGCCTTTAGAATTAGTCCGTGGTTATCCCTTAGCAAAAATATCCCACACGGTACCGAGCACAAAATTGACCACCAATACTTTTGGCAACCCACTGTACAACTAAACCGTTACAAACGAGTATAACCGAGGGACGAGACCACGGACCTATGAGGTCAAAATAGACGTTATCACCGAATTTGAGGTTACCTTTCCCACTACATAGGTTTACATACATATGTATGAAATTTGATCCATACGTGACCTCTTTGACCCGGAGGGGTGTGACTTGTGTCCCAAATTCTAATCAGGTCTAATCCTTGAGTTAGGATGTTACGTTCAAAATTTCAACTCTATGCTGTCGAGTTCAAAGGTGATCGGAGCAACGGACGGAAGGACGTCCAGGGTTCGGAAAACCCCGGAGTGTTTTTGGGGTTTTTGTAGATTTTGGAGCAGGTTGAACCACAATTACTAAAATTATATATTAGAGAAAAACTAATTTAATATACGAATTCAGCATGAAATTTTAAGCGTTATCATTGACTTGGACTGTTAAATCGAAAATTCATACTTAACATGTAAACCTGGAAATATGCAACGATACTTGGAAATTCAAGTCGGACATGAAAATGCTCAAAACTTCATGATTAATTGGGAAATGTAATTAACATTGATCTAACAATGCGATGGTGTGAAGTGTAACCCTCCGATTTGGTTGAAATTTTGAAATTATGTGGTCCAAGTCAATACAACCAACGTTTCTTGAAGCAGTTTGTGCGATGGTCAGACTTTGCCAACATATTTTAGGGCAAAGTTAAAAAACATGTACTTTTTAGCATTGGAAGAGAATGGAAGTTGAGTCTGCTTCCTCCACCTGGTAAAAATCGCCCGTTTTTAAACTTTGACCCCAAATATTTCGACAAATTCTGACCATCGCACAAACTGCCTGAACAAAGGTCGGTTGTACTGACTAGGACCACATAATTTCAAAATTTCAACCAAATCGGAGGGTTACACTTGACACCATCGCATTGTAAGTTGTAGTTTAAAGGATTTTGTTTCAATCTGCTACAAAATCCTACAAAAATTCACGAAAACCCGCAAAAACCCCAAAAAACCCTAACCGACAAAAACCCGGGGTGGCGAACCCTGAGACGGACGTAATGGGTTTTACCCCTCAATAACTAAGTGAATTTTTTATTCTCCATGTGTATAAATTTATGAGATCTTCCGCTTAAGATGATGCCAAACGTTTTTTGTTTACATGCAAAAAATATTTGCAATGATAACACATAAATAAATACACATATTACTCATACATACATGCATGCATAAGCTATAAAGCAGCAGGATGTACAAATAATAACTCATTCCAAGTCCTCACAAGCTTTGACGCAGCACTAAAATCTTGTCCAGCGTTAAAATGTTGACAGAAAGCATCCGAAATAATGCGAATCAATTTTCCACCGTTGTTCAAAACTTGATTGACTCTCCGTACATTTCTGACCCACTAATAAAGGACTTGAGTATTGCACACTCTGATTTAGTTGCCGACTTGAAAAACGGAGACATTCGCATTATTTTACAAAAGTGCGTCCAGCTCATCACCTTGATTGGTAAGATTTTAAGCTACACTTTTAAAAACTTCAGTCTAACATACATCTAAGCGGTATTGATAAGTAATACCGTGCAGTAATAGCTCGATATTAAAGTTCTACCATATCAGTAGCAAATTTCAACGGATCGGTATAATTTCATTATCAAGCGGTAGCAACTTTAATACCGAGAAATCAATACTATAGCAGAATTCTAACATTGTTACTATTTACATATTTTACCTAATTGTTTTACACTTTGTATTTATTATTTAGTTCCTTTATTAATTCTTATCTTGCTTTTAATTTATTTAGAAAGTCACAAGAGAGAGCTGTATCGAATTAACGCCGAAGTCCAGCTGGCCCCAAGCCAAGCGTTTCCCAACTTTATGAAAAGTCTGCCATGTTTCGGGACCATTGGATTTTTTTTAGCCGGAAATATATTTTTGTATTCGGGAGGAATCTGGATTTTGAGCCTTATTTCGAGCGCAATTGGTATTTCGTATGCGTGGAAAGGAGCCCAAAGTGCGTATGTTAAGATGAAGGAACAATCTGCGAAGGATGCTTTGTCTCGAAGCATCGTCCAAATTAGAGAACTGTCTTGTCAAATACATTCCCTGAAATTTCAATTTGATGAAGAACACAGGACACAAAATTTACGCCCGGTGAGAAACACGTCTGGGTAGAAATAAGTATACTCTAAAAGTTATAATGCATTCTCTTAATTTCGGATAATTAGAAATTCTAGAGTTAAATGTACAACATACATGCATACATAAACAGATGTATTTATCTAATTGGAAATTTATTACTTTTGTTTAACGTATTTACACATGCACATCGGTACATAGAAGTTACAAATATATAAATATATACATATTTTATCCACAAAATAAAAGAATGAGCAACGCCGCAAATAAAAATATATACACATAAATATTTTTGGGGTATTCATTAAGAGTTCGCATATTCTCATGAATATACATAAGGAGGACGCACCCTTCTTATGAGAAAATCCCCCCCCGTGATATTTGCCCCAAATTTTGATATGTTGGACACCTCGAGGTGCTTATCAAAAAATGTATTGGTCCCTAAGCCCTAAGTGACCTGGTTCGACCGGAAACCGAGGTCAAAGGTCAGTGCACTTTTTCGCTCGAAACCCCACAAACCGTATATTTTTGGAAAGCTATGGACCTCACGAGTCCGAATATACACCATAATAAGGTCAAACTCGGTCAAAGGTCAACCCTTGACCTTTGGAGGTCAGCTATTTGGGCATGGTGACCGTTTATGGACCTTACGGACCTCCGCTGCACTCCGGTCAGCCGAGTGCATGGCAACAAGCTTAGTCGACTCTATGGCTGTTGTGTGTGCAACTGTGTTGCAACAGCAACACACATTTGCAACTTTTTGCTTGACCTCGAAAGGTCAAGACTTGACCTTTGACCCTATTATGGTGTATATTCGGACTCGTGAGGTCCGTAGCTTTCCAAAAATATACGGTTTGTGGGGTTTCGAGCGAAAAAGTGCACTGACCTTTGACCTCTGTTTCCGGTCGAACCAGGTCACTTAGGGCTTAGGGACCAATACATTTTTTGATCAGCACATCGAGGTGTACAACATATCAAAATTTGGGGCAAATATCACGGGGGGGGATTTTCTCATAAGAAGGGTGCGTCCTCCTTTTAAAAAAATGCCAACTAAATACATACCTGCGAAATTTATCAAAATCACTATCAACCAATTTTTTTTACCAACTTACTAACTATTTTTTTTTGCTAACATTGCTAACAATGCGCACTCGTAATGAACATCGCCAATATAAATAATAATTTAAATTTTGTGATTTAAATCAGAACCGGGCCCCTTTTTGGTTTAAAAGTATGTCATGTTTAAGTAAGGGCATAAAATACGGGTAAAATATTGATAGAGCTGCACTTGATAAATTTGTGTCAAAAAAATTAAAATTTTCGTGTCCAGATGTTAGTAAAATTGTGCAAAAAACAATTGAAGATGGTGGCCTGTGCGAGTTGTGAACTCGCAACACAGTGACAAGTTTTAGTAGTTGTGCTAACAGGCCTGCTAGAAAATAGTGCGATCCTAGACGACTTTATTCTCACATGATGAGTCATCTCATTTTGCTAAACGTAATGCCAGACGAAAAAATTGCAAGGGAACGAACAGATATGACGTCACCAAAAATTGCAATCTTTTGAACACCCATCCATGCCTTATCCTACTCATTTTAATAATAGTAAGATGTCACCCCAAAACTATCCAGCCCACTTTTTGATGCCATAATATGTGAACGTTCCTAAAGTAGGTAGCTGCAAAAGTTGCTCACACGAGACATTGCTTATATGTATATACACAATTTTGCAATGTATATTTCGCATACTCAAATTGTATATTTGCATACTTTGGGTTTTAGATATTTATCTAAAACTCGAAAATATGCAAAATTTCACTTTAAAACGAAATGTTACATACATATTTAATATGCTTAAAATGCTACATAATAAATCTCTACTATTTCATGCCAACCACAATAAGCTGTGTAGATATTTAGAGACATTCTCCATTGCATATATATCCATGAGTAATTACGGCAAATGTTGTTGATAGAAAAATATTTGTAAAAATATATATATGTATTTGTCCAACAATTATTGCGGCGTCAAATCAGCCCTAAATTATTTTAATTTTAAATTATTTAGAAATCACGAATTAACAGATTCTTAGATATATATTAGCCTGCAATACTGTTTTTTTTGTCTCTCCATAAAATGAGACAACTTGACATAATATAAGACTCGGAAATCTTTAATAATGTGAATGCTAATCACTCTACATATCAACTTGATCAACGAGTATTTATTATCAAATTAAACATAAACCTGTGTCGAGTTTAGTTATGTAGAATTTTGGAAAAATTTGTCCGAACTGTCTTTGCTAAGGCTTCTATATATGGGTGCATACTCGAAGGGAGACAGAATAAAATATAAATACTCCTGTTTTTCGACTATAAAACCCTCGACGTCATCACTCTCATTAGTCTTTAAAAGCATTGCCGGGGTGACGTCGAGGTTTTATAGCCGAAAAAAGAGGAGTACATTCATTCATTCATTCATCTATGTATGTATGTGATAAGCAAATTGTACACGTTTATTTACATTGTGGTGTCCAGAATGCATATATTTTCACAGGGAATTTCCCCTTAAACATTTACACATTGTTCAAAACGTTATCAACAAGTTGGAAGTATGCTCGGTCAAAACGCTAATAACAATCTTCATCAAATTATTTCTAACCAAGCCGAATGGTCCGATCTGAACAGCCACTGGTCTCAACGCCCTGACGACCTTCTTCTCCCACGTCCCCCTTCCCAAATCCTTACCCGTCTTGCATAAATACAAGTTTGACCCTTCATACACTTTGGCTGCTTCTGGTATCATAAATACAACAAACGAGGAAGCCATTAAACTCGAAATGGGCAGCAACAAATATAGCAAAAATGGCATCCGATCTCGCATCCGGACTGTCCCATAAAGCCCCAATATTATAAACGAAACTCCAAAGAATAGTAACGGCGGGACGGCAAAATAACAAAAATTTTTATTAGTGAATCCCATCCAAACTGATAATTGTCGATAAAGCTGAATTTCACGAGTTTGTAAATTTCTCTCAATCCAGATTGTTCTCTTATAATTTAAACTGTTCAAGACATGAAGCACTTCGCTAGCCGAACATACCACCGTTAAACCAAGAATGAAGAAAGCATTGATCGATTTCAACAACTCATTTATAAAAGTTATTATCAAAATGGAGCGAATGAGAAATGAAAAAATGTTTGGCCCGATGGAAATTATTGTCCTTATTGGCAGGTCAAGTAGGTCGACGCCGAAAAGTACCATGGTCATGATAATAACTTGCATGGGGTATTTGCTCAGCCAGAGAAAATATTTCATAGCTTTTGTCAAAATGTTGAAGTTGCGAGGAGACTCCATTGTGGAAGGACAGCTTTGTCTGATTTCTGAAAAAATTTGAGAACCTTTAGAAATCAGACCATCATGAAATGACAGGTGGTAATGTTCACGTTTGAATTAAAACCAAAATACCACGTGATTTTCATGTTCATTCACCGAAGGGAAATCTTGTTCCGTCTACAAAATTATATCTCACTCTATGGACGGTTGAATCAACTTGACATTTCGAAAACGATGTCACGGCAAGCGTGCCCAAAACTCGCATTTTATGCAACAAATTTTTTTGGGACCGTGAATATTTTGTCAGTTAATTCTGTGTAGGTAATGTCAAACAAATTTTGAAGAGTGTGAAAAAAACTCAAAATTAGCAAAAAATTCGAACATTTTGTCATTTATCTCGAAAATTGGCTAAGCGCCCCCGCCCAACAATTTTATTACGGATTATTGATCTACTCATTATGCAAATTTTAAGCCCTCAAACTCGAAAATCGTTAGAGTGCGAAGAAAAGCTATTTCATTGTATATATCTATCTTAATCTTAGACAATTTTCGACCCATTTCGACGCCCTACATAAGTTTTTGTGTGCATGATCAATTCACGACAAAATTAGAAAAAGTTAAACCAGGGCTGGAAAATTCCATCCCAATTTGGAATAAGAAAATCCATGTGACGTCTAGATTGACTATTATTGATTAGTTGCAATTATCCACATATTTACATAATATGTAAATATGTGTAAATATCTACATATTATGTAGATATGATACGATCAATATATACAGTATGCACTGTATATATATTACTGTATACTCTTGGAAAAACGGTATTGAATCATCACCAACCGGAGTGCATATATGACTTAACCGGCGCGGTGATAACGGGCATTACCGTATACCGTAAAATATACACCGACGTGGTGATGAAAACTCACCAGTCAGAATCAAACTATTACCAACCCGGGGAGAAATTATCACCAAATTAATACCATCACGGGGTGTATACGTGACTTCACCACATTTTTTACAGTGTATTATCATATTTAGTAGTACTATGAATATTTCATCAAGAAGTTTTACGTACGTACAACGTAAAATGTTTGCTTGGAAATTATACGACATAATTTTTCTATCTGCTCCAAGATTTTCAGACTTAAAAATATTGAAATGTCAAAAAAACTGATTATTACCGTGTGCAAATTTCGTCAGGCCTCGCAAAGAATTCATAATAGCGACTACGGTCCCGAACCTTTTAGCTAGGACGAACCCCATTGCGGAGCAACTTAGAGGGAGAAAAGTAAAAAATATGAGAAGGTAAATTCGAATTATTTCGAAATTTAGGTTTTCATTTGAACCACCAAGTCCAGTTTTCCATAGCCACATTAAACGCAGAAAGCAGTAAAATGTATGGAGTACAAATACTGTGAAGGAAAAGTGAGCAAATGTATGTTGCTTTTTTGTCAAGGGTACATAAATTACTTGCTCGAGACGAATAGCTATTAAAAATTGGAGTGGATTTCGATTTAGAAACTGGTCTAAGAAGATTTTGAAAGTTAGCCACGTTTTTGAAACGAATGAGAGCACTGTGGTCAAATAATTCGGCAGCATTTTAAAATCCTGGAATGTTCTGTTACACAGAAATGGTAAGAAATTTGAAATGAAATAAGAAAACCTGGAATGATGGAAAACTTGGGAATATTTTACAATTTATTTAAGTTTATGAGAAGCTCGAATATGAGAGTGGATGGTGAAATAAAATATTCACGATATTTCTGAGCCAGGGAAATCATGTTTTATCCCGTTTGATATAAAGGTATGCTGATTATATTAAATATCTAGAATAATATAAATAATGCGTAGGTATATGTAAGGTCTTTATCTCCGATTTTGACCGGGCTAGATAATCTAATTGTTCACTCGCAGAAATAAGCGAACCCACATTTTTTAGTTTTCCAGAATTTGCATATTTTCGCCCGTGGCGGAATTTAAAAACAATCAGCGAACTTCAGAATTTTTTAAAACCTTTAGTGTTTGAAATCTGGTTTAATCGGGTTTAATTTTTGAACTAGTGTGAAAATTCGAAAAATTGCAGTTTTAAAAACTCCGGATTTTGACTGAACTTTTTTAAAAATTCCGTCACGGGAGAAACATCCAATCTGGAAAACCAAAAAGTACAACTTCGCTTATTTCTGGGGTGGCCAATTTCAAATTAGCCCGGTCAAACTCGGAGATGACCACCTTGCATCTCCTCATTGTAAGAAGCTTAGTTACGCGACATTTGTAATATTACTGCAAAATAATCCGCGCATATGTAAATTATGTATGAATTCGTATCCATACTAAAGCCAGGAACAAGAAAAACAAGGTGGGCAAAAAAAATTGTCCAACACTGGGCTTAAAAATGTGCTTGACAACTTGCGCACGTGTGGTTATTAAGTAGCGTCAGCTACTTATTGTGATCACTTTGTCCGTCTGCCTGTCTGTCTGTCAGTCCGTCCGTCCGTCCGTCCGTAAGCAGGATATCTTTAGAATGCCTCAACATAATTAGAAGCGGTTTTCGCCATTGTGCTTCTAATTTTTAGTTCTCGGTCGAGTTCGAAAATTGGGTCAATCGGACCACCCCCCACAGCGCCAGGGGGTGTGGTCCAAAATTAAATTCACGTTAATTTGCATATGGGGTGTCATTTTAAAGGAAATTTGACCGCGATTTCAATGACGTTAATATTTTTGACCTCATGACCTTGTGGACGAGGTCACAGGTCAAAAAGATACTTAATTGTCATATGGGGTGTCATTTTAAAGGAAATTTGACCCCGATTTCAAGGACGTTAATATTTTTGACCTCATGACCATGAGGACGAGGTCAGGGGTCAAAAATATATAATTGTCAGATATGATGTCATTTTTAAGGAAATTTCGATCGTTCTGACGCTACTTTTTTATATTCGTTTGTAAGGGTTTATTTACATACATAATTGCCCTTCACAAAAATATGAACCTGGTTGGATTTGGATGCGTACATATTCCATAGGAATATGTACCATCGAATGCATTATAAAATACTTAGTAATACTTTGAAGGAATTCATTGTTCCTTCGTATCCTTAGCATTCTTCGTATCGTAAAATAACTTACGACGGTTACGAATTTACAATATTTTGTAAGCGCCGTAAGATTTCGTCATCAAAAATCACGTTAAGATTTTTACGAAGCTTGACCTCTTGTCTTTTTCTTCATAAACTTTTTTACGATACTAAGGATACGAGAATACCCTCATTATAGTAAACAATAGTGTAGATTTTATATTTTCAAGACAACGTACCGTATTTAATATAATGTACGAAAATAGTCAGAAATTTAAACAAAATAAAATAATTACATTAATAAGCAGACGTCGGATATGAATGACCGATAAAACCTCAAAATATGAATGAAAAATGACCGTAAAAATCCCCAAAAATATGACCATAAAAATGACTTTATTTTTTAAATTTTTGGCTTAATTTTTTGATATGTTTTCCTGTATTGCTCAATTTTTATCAAATAAACAAGTTCTGGGGTTATTTAATGCATTCCCAATGAATTAAATCACCTTAGGCGAAAGTGAACGTAAATTTCTGAAAGTTTCTCACAATCAATCATTTTGAGAAAACTGAATTTTTTGTCATTTTCTGTCGATTTGATTGCCAAATCTTAGAATTTGGCCAAAAATGATAAAATAAACGAAACATCCCGAAATATGATCGGGAATATGAATATGTCCTAAAACCTGCAAATATGACCAATATGAGAAAATATGCTTTGACCTACGTGACCTACTAGTGACCATAAACATTCTCAGAAAGTTTGGCGACTGTACGTCAATAAATGGAAAAAGTCATTTTTCATTCATATCCGACGTATGTTAATAAGTAATAACGTGATCGATGATCATGCCAAGAATATCGTATGTACAAATATGTAGAGTCTGAATAATAAATTTTCAAAAAAATCAACGACTCCCTACACTACAATGAAAGTTAAGTATTCCGCTTTTAAACACATACGTGCGTTAAAATTTGTGAGTTACTCCTGATAGTCCCTATATATCAAATAATATTTAGAAATGCAATGGAGACACGGCAAGGTCGATAATTTTGGATCAGATTTTTTTAAATCTCTCATTTATCGATCCTATTTCTTTTTGAGGCCTCTTATTGCTATTCATTCATCACAAGAACATCAAAAATTGGACAATCTCAAACCATGTACATATGTACAAAATTGCATATTTAACTAAATATTCTTAAAATTGTGTTATGAATTACTTACTACCACTATAAATTTATTTATTTCTTATGTACATATTTACAATTTGAGACAACGTAAAATGTGCTTACTCGAATCCGTTTGACGTAAACTATACTTAACTCGAACACAAAACATAAACATGCTCCTCCAATTAGAACTAAAAGTAATTGAAAAGCCACCCAAAGGTTTCGAAATGCCCCAATAGCTAAATCTTCAATTACCGGGTGCATTCGAGCATAACGTTGATCCAGATCAACGTATATCCAGAGCTTCTCGTACAATAAGAATATTCCGTTTGAGCTCAAAGTTTTCAGCGTCGCGGAGAGGCGATCACCGCCAAAATATAGAAACTCCCAGACGACGTTTTCCTTGTAAAAGATTTCTTTGACTATGTTACACGTGACGTTGGGATAACCTAATTTGAGAAAATGGAGGGCATTCTGCACGTGGCCGGAGTTTGGCTCGAACGCGATTTCATCAGCGAATATGGCGGCGCCGGGTAGTTGATAAAATATGGTGAGATTTACGTGAAGGCCTGAATATAAAAAAATATACTATTAAATAATAATAGGGGCGCAAACCATGTTCAACCCAGATTTTTTTAGACCAACTCTTTGGAAACAAAATTTGGTGAGGAACTTGTGCAGGTGTGCAAAATCCAGAGAATTTCGCAAGTTCGCGAAAATGCTCCGTATGTATTCACAATGAAGCAATGCAAGGTAAAGATCTGAGCTGCTTCCGTAAGTCATTGATTCAGTCGAAAACTTAGCGTTTTCGCTAACTTGCGGTACCCATAACTGACAACGCTCTGAATTTTGCGCAAGTGTCGCAATAAATGTTGTTTCTACAAGCTAAGCTGGGCAAAAAATAATCTGGGTTGAACATGGTTTACGCCCCCATTGTAAATATTATTTATCTTCTTGAACGAAGGGTATTGTCTATGTACACATTTTGATTTTGTCTGACTTTTCATATTTATTTTAACAATGCCATACTTTTTTTGAAAAGGTGTCTTTCACCGTCAATCCGTCTGATCGATAGTCTCACCATTCCTCCACTTATGTCGTCATTTCTCGGGTATAACTTAAACCCAAAATAGTAAAATACTTCGGAAATTGTTTGGATGACGTATTTCTCGAGGGGTTTCGTGATCTGGGAGGTTACACATGCGTCGTACCACGAGCTTAGGACCGTCATCCCTAAAATGGCGAGGATAGAGGCGAACGAAATTTTTCTACAGAATCGAAACCAAAATTCATAAAATTAAGTAAACAGTTTCCCAATAATTTAAAACTGTCAAATATGCATTTTATATACATATTCACATTCTCAAATGACTGATTAACTAATTCACTAAAATAACGAGCAATGAATGAATATATTTAAAACAAAAATTTGAATCATAATTTTTTAAAATTTGTTGAATGAATGAATACTGAATAAATATTTATTCATTTCATATTAATGAAAAATGGATCAATACTTTGTTCTTTATTAAGGGGTGAAAGCCCTTTATAAGATCGTTATGTCCGTCTGTCTGTCCGTCTGTCCGTTGGTCCGATAACTTTTGAACGGAAAGACATAGAGACTTGAAATTTTTAACGTTAACTCACAACGTCAAGGGACAGGGCAAGTTCGAAGATGGACACTGTGACATCGTCACCTATGACGATGGCGTCGTCACAGTGACGAAAAGTGACGAAAAAGTGTCACGTGTCAGTTTTGACATGTGACACATCATTTTTAACTATTTTTCAATGAAGAATTCGAAAATTCATGTCATTTTGCGATTAGACGTAGAGTTGCCACTTCAACTCGGCTTTACTCAGCTTATTGAGTGAGTCGAGTCAAGCCGAGTCGAGTTGACCTCAAGTAAGCCGTCGACTCAATGAGTTGGCTTATTGAGTTGTGAGTTGTGATTGAGTTGGACTCGGCTTGACTCACTCAATAAGCCGGCTGGCTCCGCCTCCTCGTACTTACACACATGCACAAACAAATTCATTTCTCTCCAACTTGTAAACATAAAATGCACGTACACGTATGTACATATGCTTCGTCAATAAGCTGCCTCCACTCACTCGACTCACTCGACTCACTCAGATTCTTAATGAGTCGAGTCAAGCCAAGCCGGCTTGCTTCTGACTCGGCTTGCTTCGACTCACAACTCAATGAGTCGACTCACTGGCAACTCTAATTAGACGTCACCTGTGACGATGACATCGTCACAGTGACTAAAAGTGACGAAAAAGTGTCACGTGTCAGTTTTGGCATGTGACACATCATTTTTAACTATTTTTCAACGAAGAATTTAATGGTGGCCTACATTTTGACCTCAGAGGTCATCTAAAGGTCATAGGGAATATATATGTCAACTTAACAGGAAATTCATTTTAACGTATGAAACAGTTCTTTCACCCCTTGGTTATATTCGTTGTAAGGGTTTATTAATTTTGTACCCTTAATAAATGGGGTAACTTGAGAAGTTCGTTCAAAATAAGTTGAATGAACAAATATTTTTCAAATTTAAAATTAATGAATGATTTTTTCAACTTAGAAAATGAATGAATTTTGAATAAAATATTTTTTGAATATATGTATGCACCTGAAATATGTAAATATATATCTGTATTACCTTCGTGATATACTTTGCCTTAAGAAGGCTACCACTAGGTCGGGAACCTGACCAAGATTAAAAATCCACAAAATAATCGAAATTCCTCCACACGCCGTCCAAACGTAATGGTCCATAATTGTGAAAAAATGCCAGATTAGTACGGATGAGAAGGTGGGATTTTTTTGACAATAAAGGACGTAATAGTCGAGTGCTTTTTCTATGAAAAATTCCTCCCCTTTGTAAAGTATTATTTTGGTTCCTTGCAATCCAACCGTGAAGCTGGAGTGGTAATGGGACCTGATTAGAAATAAATATGCATTAGATAAGCAGGGTAAGTAGCATTAAATGGCATATTTAAGCTAATTATTAATTACTAATTAACGTTAACTAGTACCACCGAAGCTAATTTTAATTACTTCATTTAATATTAATTAGAAAATCACTAATAATCACCAATTAATTGGTCAATGTTCTAATTAATTAGCTAATTAATTGGCTTACTTAGCAACCTGAGTTTAATTACTAGCTACCAATTAATTAGACAAAATATTTGTATTCTAATTATCAATTACTAATTAATTAGAACTGTGGCTAATTAAAAAGCTCTGTAGATAAGTAAGTTAACTACATTTTGGCTTGTATTTATTTTCAGTCTGTAAATACTTTTGAATGTATGGAAGGTATAAATTAGTATATATTTGTAAGCTTGACACATTTCAATATCCATTTTTGGCACCGGATAATTTTTCATCACTTTTTTGTTAATTTATCCCGAAAATAAGAAAACATTGGAGCTTTGCACGTGCCATAAAACAGATATATTTTAAAATTCTAGCTTCTTAAGGTATGTAAAAATGGGAATACTTTTTAAATCGCTGGTTTTCAAGATACCTAATATATATATACTTTATACAAATAAGTAAAGAAGCAATTCAAGCAGTTTTTGATATCGTAAATTCTGTAAACTTGCAATCTTGTACAAATATTTTTAAGGAAAATTAGCTTACGTATTTTGTAAATTTACTCGCATCAAGGACATTTTTTATTTTCTGGAAATTTGTAAAATTACGCTATAAAACTCACGTAAGTTAAGGACTGCGTGAATTGTCTCAATATATATATGTACATATGATAAAATATTTACTGTATTTTGTGAAACGTAAAGTTGAGCTTTCTCGATACCACGGCCAGAGAACCAAACGCAGAAAAGCATGGGGAACCAAGGCGGAGAAATTCGCGATGATTTTCACAATCAACTTTTCTCATATGTAGAAGCCAAAGACGATTCAGGGGAAGTCTGGACTGTAGTTGGTTATTGCTGAGCAAACTTCGCAAAACACGCAACTTCTGCGGCGCTGGAAATGAGGTCTTAACTCCACGTGGAAATTTCTGCCACGTGTAATATTCCGGAACGGGGGAAAGCAACTTGCCATAGACATTAATTTGCAACGAATTTTCATCAATTTGTAACAAAATTGTGTAAATCGGGATGCAAAATGTGTCCAAATGTAAGCCAAAATTTGAACGTGCCATAACTTGAAAACTTATTGGTGAAAGGGCAAAGTAAATCGTGACATTGTTGTGATTTCCCCAATTTATGATTTCTTCATAGTAATCACTAATTTCACCGGAACTGTCAAACACGACGATTTGCATGCAGTTGATTTTCCACGATGGAAATTCGTCCCTTCTTCGAAAGTAGTGTGGGAGCAGGTGTTTAACAACTATTCCACTCAAATGGGCTGACATTAAAGTGTTGTGATGAGATATTTGTAAAATTTCTGAATAGAAATTGGAAGAATTTATGTTATGCGTTAGAACAGTTTGAAGCAGGCAGGTCGGATCAAGATCAAAGGTGGGAAAGGGAATACTTTGTAAACTTGGGGAAAATAGAGCTGTAAAGTAGTAGAAAGTAAGTGAAAGGTTTGACCTGCCCATGGTCAAGGGTAGGGATTCCAATCCCGGACGATTTTTTAAATCCCGGGAATCGGGAATCCCGGTTTTCGCCGTGACAAATCCCGGGATTTTTTCCCGAAATTCAAATATTACCGTATAACTTAGTCAAATTATGGTGCACATGGCTCTAAAAGTACCGAGCCTGAGCATATTTATAATACTTACATTGCATATTACATAATATTTACATATCTACTGATGTGTGTTTTCCAAATATGTGCATTCATAAGTATTATTATAAAGTATGCTATTTTCTGGCATACACATGATAGTAACACAAATTAGCGAGCATATTGTTTTGCCTGCTATGATAAATACAAAATTTCGATGTATTGTGGTAGCTCAATTTTCGTCATCTATCTTGGAGAGGTGATGAGAAAAAGTTTGATAATTTCATTCTAGAAAACATAAATAATTAATCAAGGGTTTGCCACCATGTTAACCAGAAATGCACAAACTTAAGTTTAGCAGTATTATTTGGCCTAAATCGCGAACAATTATTCAAAAACTACAATTGGACATGGAATTTGGCAATTCAAAAATTTCAAGCTCAAATATACGAACTACCTCGTTCAGTCAAAAAGCTTTTCATTCAGCCTTAAATTCATCGACTAAAATTTGGAATCACTTGTAACGTTTTAGTGTTTTTGGGCATACGTGATTTCGGATTCCATAATTATGCCGAAAATACGGCGTTCTTTTTGCTTCAATTTAATATCTGACATCTAAATTAGAAAATTTTAAGTTCCATGTTGTATTAAAAATTTTATTTGTGAATTAAATACAAAATTTGGATGAATATTCGAAAAATACGGCTACCAATATTGTTTAGAATGTAAATTTTCGACTTTAGGATCAATTTTGACTGGTTATGCTCTTCAAAGCTTTTTCTTACCAATCATATAACCGAAAATTATATAAAACTGCTATTAAAATAGTAAATTACAAGTAATTTCACTTCTGAATGACAAATTGAAAAATCCCGAAATTCCGGGATTTCAGTCATTCAAATCCCGGGATTTCGGGATCCCGTTTCCCGGGAATTCCCGGGAATTAAATCCCGAAAAATCCCGGGACTGGAACCCCTAGTCAAGGGGATATTGTAGATAGATAAGTGACTGGATTTCATGGATCGTGGATATTTTCAAGTCCAGTCGGTAACAGAAATGTACATACACGTTAATGTAAGTAAATATGTATGCATGTATCTCAAATTGTAAAATAAAATATAGTGAAATTGTTCGTCTATTTGGTAATTGCTTTGTATCAAAATAAGAATCGTTGCGTGTATGTATGTACTCGTACACTGTTAGAAAGGTATAGTCACGCAGGTATTGATTTCTGGGTATTAAAGCCGCTACTACTTGGTATTAAAATTATACCGGTCGTAAAAATTTTCTATCGACATGATACACCTTCAATACCGAACTATTACTACATATGTATGCGGTATTTCTTACTTTGGTAAAGTCATATATGTGTGTATCAATACTGCTTGGTACTATATTAATACTGCACTGTTGGAAATGTAGTGACGTCACATATACACTTCGTGCTGGTATTTATTTGGGAATAATTTCCTCCCCGATTGATAATAATTTGTTTCTGAGTGGTAAATTTTCATTGCCACAACGGTATACTTCATTACAATACTGTAATGCCCGTTATTACCGTGCTGGTGAAGTCATAAATGCGCCCGGTCCGTGATGATTCAATACTATTTTGCTAATCCTAAGAAAGGGCATATGTAAATACATACGTCAAATACGTTCAGGCTCGACAAAAGATGGAGTACAAAAGGATACATAATTTGTGTGCAACTACAACAATAGATTTTTTATTTAGAAACTATTTTTTTTAATATGCCGTTTAGGACGTGTCCATAATTTTACTGCATTCGATTATGTAAATATTGTCGATATGGAATTGAATATATATTTATGGTTTGTTATGCAATACACACATATGTACATATGTACTTATGTAGCTCTACCAGTTAATTTAAATGTAAATATTTACATAAATATGCGCCATGTGGATATTTAAGCATTATACATAGTACAGATAACTAATGTAATTTTGGCATTGTGCATGATTCAAGTCCTAATGAGTGAAGTAGAGACATGACTGCGTGACGTCAATGAAAATGAATGAACTTGAACCCACACATTAAATTAACTTGATTACAATTTACCCAAAGTTGAGTAAGGTTTCCGATGGTTCAACCGGTTCCGTAAAATTTGTCCTAAAATTTATCCAAAGTTGAAGAATTAGTCTTTGATAAAGGCAATTTTCGTCACGTAAATTTTACACGACCCGTTGTGTCATCGCAAATTTTGCTCGACTTTATTTAGAGTGCGTACATATTCTTACTTACCATGGAGGTCTCCCAACATGTGCTCGCAGATTTTGACCAAATTAGTCTCAACCGATCAAAAATTTAAGTAATATGAAATTTCCAATAAATACTATCTGTCAATGGGTAAGCTTGGTAGAGATACATAGATATGCATTTGCATCCAAACAGGAGAAAAACAAATTTTATGTAAACTTACTGCACATTTTCCTCTTTGGATACAAAAATCTCTACACAACGTGCTCATGCGCAGATTATATCTTTCGCAAATTTCATGCTAGATAATAAAAATTTGTTATCAAGTGACACCAGTTTGGGCAAAATTTGTAAGTATACGCTGCGAGACCTCAATTGTGAGTACACACGCACTTGAATTGAATCTAGTCACATCCAGACTGGTTTACAAGTTATAACCATGCACTTGGAAATCAGGGTAGAAGATGCCCCACGAAATACTCCATAAACGAAATGTTTATACATAAATAGGCGAAGGGAAGGTGAATTAGTGTAATTAAAATGAGCTTAAGAATTCTCCTTTAAAATGAGATTTGCTACACGCAAGTTGTCAGTCTCGGTCAAACCACTGTTGTTCCAACACAGCCAAATAATAAACACTCGTGAAATCATGATTTCTTTAAAATATTCGATTTTGTCAAAACTGCGACCAATTTTTCCACGCCTGCGAAGTATTTCCCGATTTTCCACCATTTCGAGCGAGTTTATACCCGAGCGGAAGTTTAATTCGGTTAAAAAACTAGCCTACGAAAATCCGAAGAGAAATCGCGTCAAGTTATCCGATTTGAATCGCGGCACCATCCCATCCTACACTTTCCCTGAATTTACTATCAAATATGACGCCAAAGATGTTGTGAATTACGCCAAATCAACGATTCAAGTTGGATCCGAAGAGAAGGAATTGACTGATGTGAACGATTCGAAATTTGGTGTCCTTCCCATCTTCATGCTTCCAGTGATTAGCAAAATGATGAAGGATATGAGCCTCCAAACATGCCCGGATTGTCTGGATTTTAGCAAGATTGTCCTGGCCGAAATTTATTTGGAGGTGTATCGGCCGTTTTCGAAATCAGGGGAATTTAGGGTGCAGCCAAAACTGGAGGAATTTGTGGATAGGGGGACACATGATATGGCTTATCATCATTGTGAGTAGTAGGATCAGCATTAGTTATTTAAGGGGTGTTCTCATCAGTGGCCGTGGAAGCGTAGGGACGGAGGGACAATGTCCCCACGGTTACTCGACGTCCACGCCATATCGCCATATTACTTATATAAGCCCCTTACTTCCCTATCCTTCAATGTTAATGTCCTCAGATGTCCCTACGGATCCTGCCAGCACTGGTATTCACGTCAACGACTCATTTTGCAAGGCTCAATTAATATAAGAAATAGTTACACATAATAGTGAAATTGGATCAATAATATTTTATCGTAAAAAATTTTCGAAATTTTGCATTTTGGCAAATTATGCTGCCAATTTGCAAGATGTTCAAACTATCCAAAAGTCGTTGTACGTACGCTTGCTCCCATTCTTCTGTTTTGCTCCATATTGTTTTCGTTTATTAAACATTTTTGCAAATACAAAATTCGATAGAACAAATTTATCCGTGGGAGACCACTTTTTTGAATTTCGAAAAAATTACTAACTTTTCTCGTTATATTTTTCCAACCAGATTTCGGCAAGGATGGAAATTCGTCACCGCTATTTTTCGCTCAAATTTGCACCATCGAGCTAGGCCAGGGAGGAAAGGGAGGATCTCGCACCTCGGAAAAGGGTGCCTATGCCGCGCCATCAATTATGACGCCCCCGGAAGGAAGGCCGGATGCTATCGTGCCCTTTAAAACGGTTGAAATGCCGCCAAACTTTAGTTTTGAATTTACAGAGAACGAGCTGAAGAGAGACATATTTGAGTTTCACAATCCCAGCCAGCATTACGGACCAAAGCCCGCCTTTTCTGAGAAACCAAACTTGCACGGACGGTATTATTGGGCGTCGGCGGTGCATTTAATGCTCAAGCAATTTGCAGCGGGAGACCTTACCAGATTTAAGTGTTCCAGGGTATGGATAATTAATGAATTAAATCCTATTTATTTTTTTATTATCGTTAGGAACGGGTACTCGTTATCAGTTCACATCGTCTACACCTTAAAATGCGATGGTGTCAAGGGCAAACTTTTTTGAAAAATGATTTTTTTGAAATTTTGGAATTATAAAATTCAGGTCAATATAACCAACGTTTCTTTTTCCGTTTTTCAAGGTCCGATTCACAAGTGTGGTGCATCCTGGAGACACACTGGAAATTCGGGCGTGGCATCGCGAACCCAGAATATTCTTTGAAGCTGTTAACCTCAACACGGGCAAATTGGCTATGAAAGGTTGACAAAAGCAGTTAAAAATGAAGGTCTGTTTCGAAAATTTATAATCAATGGTTTCGGGTGAAATTTTCCAGGAGGATTTGTCGACCTAATTCCATGCCATCCAGAGCAATAAGATGAATGTTAAAATTACACGAAGTCAAATCGGAGTTCAAAAAGTTAAAACTAAATAATCGTTAAAATATTTGCCTAAATTTTTGTGTACGCAAATAAATTCATTAATATAATTCACTAGGAAAAAAGTATACATGCTTGACCTGATTGACTTGATTGCAATTATAATTAATGATATTACATAATTTTCAATAATGAGATCAATACAATCTGGTGGGAATTAATTATCATTGTTCCAAGTAAATATTGATCCCACAAGAATTTGTTACGGTTTATTGGTATGACTGAAGTGGACGAGTGTCCTTTGGGACCATGCGCAATTTTTAAGTGACTGTGTAAATTTAGCTGGCATAATTGTAATTACAACTTTATGGAATGACCAATTTTGTATTGGTACCCAAACTTTGCATAAACCTGTATTGCATACATTTCATGTGGAAATCTGCAACTTATTCGAAAAATGTCACTGTTCGCCGATGACCCCTGCCTAGATTTATATGGACCAGACACTCTAAATAATTTAGAGACAAATCGTCTCCCGCGGAGGTATTATAGTGCTCTATTTATAAGCAATAATAAAGGAGACGCTTTATCACTAACAGGAAATAAGTTAAAAATTCCTGTACCGTAACAGACGTGAAGTCGTTGTTTTAAAAATGCGCATTTTTATCTGAACATAAGACTTTTTAAATTAAAGACCGACGTCACATCGGTTTGGTGTACAAGTTTTTGACTGAAATGCATATTTCTTTTTGATGACAAAACATCTCATTAATCATTACCCAAAAATTACATAGGTACATACCTCCGCAGATTACAATTTGCCTCTAAATTATTTAGAGTGTACTGTACAATCCACAAAACTTCAGATGTACATACATATGTATGTTAGACAGGAAGTAAAAACGACACTTCATCCAGTGGAAGGCTGAGACATGACTTCAAAATTATGGTCGCCTTCGGGTTTTAAATGCAGCATAAAACCCGCACAAAAATATTCCACCAGCCTGGTGAAGCATTTTTCGACAGTTTAAAGACTACCTATTTAATTTTAAAATTATGAACAATGTCGGTGGACACAAATAAAGCTACTTCAAGTCGCACATGAAACTGCTAAAAATTTCATTTTGAATCCTAAATTTTACTTATTATTAATTTAAGTTGTGGTTTAAACCATTGTGTTTCAATCTGTCCCGAAAATCTAACGGAGTAATGTACATTTGTAAGTAATTTATCTCACATATTATTAAGCCAGTGCTGTGGAGGACGGGGGATATTGGCCTATCTATATATTTCCGGAGTGCCAATTCCTATTTACGGATATCCTATATGCACTTAATTACATTTAAATTGTTAAGCTTGTCAATATATTTATATGTGCATGTACTAATTACATGAATCCCTCTACTTTCCAGAGATGCATAATTATTTATCTGCACTGTAAATACATATTTACATACTGACGCACCGTATTAAAGATAATTAAGTTACCATTCCTATGGAACGTGTGCAATTATGCGGCATGTATTTATCAAGTGCCATTAATGGCACTTGATAAATACACACGTCAAGATTACTAATGAATAATTACATATATATTACCGATAGGTTAATTAATGTTTATATAAGTTGATAGAAAATATTTATTGGCTACTAATGAGTGAGTCAACTGAAGACATGTAAATGCGTGACGGATTTAAAATGAATTGAATTGCAGTCGCATATTAGGGACTGTTCATAAGTTATGTGACACAAAAATGGCGATTTTCTGGACTTCCCTCCTCCCTATTTAACATGTGTCAATAGGCACGATATCACTGGAGCGGTAAACCCCACTCCTCTTTCATGGGTTATATAATTCATGAACGGTCCCATGTTAAGAAACTCCCCGTAAATGGATATGCATGCACAACTTACCTGTACATAAAAGAAGACTTGAATAAAGGGGAAGTAATTAAGCATAATTACATAAAATGGGCTTGAGGATTCTCCTTTAAAATAGGACTTGCCACAGGTAAACTTATCAGTTTTGGGCAAACCACCCCTGACAATATTTACCTATTTGTGAAATCATGATTTCCTTAAAATATTTGGTAAACCTGAGACCAATCTTTCCACCCCTGCGAAGTATTTCCCGATTTTCCACGATATCGAGCGAGTTTATACCCCAACGGAAATTTAATTCGGTTAAAAAACTAGCCTATGAAAATCCCAAGAGAAATCAAGTTAAGTTATCCAATCTGAATCGCGGCACCATTCCATCCTACACTTTTCCCGAATTTACCATCAAATATGACGCCCAGGATGTTGTAAATTACGCCAAATCAACGATACAAGTCGGGTCTGAAGAGAAACGATTGACAGATCCGAAAGATTTGAAATTTGGTGTTCTTCCCACCTTCATGTTTCCAACGATTAGCAAAGTCATGATGGATTTGTGTAACCAATCGTGTGTGGATTGTCTCGATTTTAAAAAGATTGTACTGGCCGAAGTTTATCTGGAGGTTTATCGGCCGTTTCCGACATCCGGAGAATTTAGGATGCAGCCAAAACTGGAGGAATTCGTGGATAAGGGGACACATGACTTGGCTTATCATCATTGTGAGTGGTAGGGTTGGACTTACTTAATGGGCTTATGAGTGCTTTTGCACTGGTAAAATAATTTAGGATATAAATAGTTTGCAAAATAATCTCGATACGTAAAGTATAGGGAAATTTCATTTAAAAAGTCCAGGCTATATATTAGTAAGTAGATATATTAGTAAGTAGATATAGTTAGTTAGTAACATATTTGTATATTATATGTGTCACTCGTGGAAGAGCATGGTTTGTTACTGTGAACTTGGTAGACACTTGAATAAAGCATAATCAATCAATCAATCAAGACTTTTATGGCAAGCGCTTTTCGAAAAAATTTCGTGAAGTCGAATTTTTTGGGTTTTCTTTCTATTATTGTCACATTTTAAACATTTCTGTAAACGCAAAACCCAAGAAAACAAATTTATCCGTGCGAAACCACTGTAAACAAATTTTTATTATGTTTTATTAACTATTTTCGTAATATATTTTACCCCAGATTTCGGTAAAGATGCAAATTCGTCGCCGCTATTTTTCGCCCAATGCGTCACCATCGAGCTAGCCAACGGGGGAAAAGGGGGATCTCGCACATCGAAAAAAGCAATCTTTGCTGCCCCACCAATTATGCCTCCCCCGGAAGGAAAACCGGATGCTATCGTGCCCTTTAAAACGGTTGAAATGCCACCAAATTTTAATTTTGAATTTGGTGAGAATGAGCTGAAAAGGGACATATTTGAGTTCCACAATCCCAACCAGCATTACGGACCGAAGCCCGCCTTTACTGACAAGCCAAACTTGCATGGACGGTATTATTGGGCGTCGGCGGTGCATTTAATGCTCAAGCAGTTTGCCGGGGGAGACGTTACGAGATATAAGCGTTCCAGGGTATGGATTACATAATTAGCATAATCACTGAAGCAATTCATACAGACCTTGGTAACATTGAGCGTACTCACGCCAACCTTCGCATATCTCGCAAATTTAGCATAGCAACATAACTTGCGAAGTTTTGCGAGATATGCGAGATTTCGCAAAAATTTTGCTGGAAAACCATGGGATTTTTTTTCGCAAATTTACGCAGCAATTTAGCATGTTCTTATTTCGCAAAATTATTTCGCAAACTCATCCTCACAATCGCCAGCAGGAGAAATTCAAGAAATCCATGGAAACAATACTAAAATAGGTGTTTTTCAGTAGATTTGGGAGATTGGAGAGATTTGCCAAGTCATATTTTGCGAATCCCGTCGCGACAGAAATATTTTGATCTTCGCAAGTTTGCTAAATGATTTGCGATGCGAAATAAGACGTTGTTGTGAGTACGTCCATTGAAAAATTCGTAAATTCTGTAAACTTACCAATTTTTACAAATATTTCTGTGCAAAATTAGCTCATAAATTTTTGCCAACCTACTCAGATCAAAAGAGCTTCTTTTTTAAAAAAAAATTATAACATTATTTTACAAAGTTATCAATCACTTCGTGAATTTCCTCAATATTTATTATTTAAGTTAAGACAATAAGATTCCGTTTAACTCTTAGAACAAAGTTTTGACAAAATGTATCCAAAAAAGATTTTACTTTCATACAATTTACCACTTACAAAATTTTACCCTAAAAGCCTGACCCGAATTATTAATATTGCAGGTCCAAAGTTCTTGCCATGTTTGGATAAAATTTTAAATTGCATTATGAAAAAATTCATTCTAACTTTAAGAATTAAAAAATTAAGAATTAAGTGACAAAATACTGAAATATTTGATATGCTTCTGTTTTTAAGGTACGATTCACAAGTGTGGTGCATCCCGGAGACACTCTGGAAATTCGGGCGTGGCATCGCGAGCCCAGAATATTTTTTGAAGCTGTTAACCTCAACACGGGCAAACTGGCTATGAAAGGTTGACAAAAGTAGTTAAAAATGTGTATCCATTTCGGGAATTTATAATAAATTGTTTCCGGTGAAATTTTCCAGGAGGATTTGTCGACCTAATTCCATCCCATCCAGAGCACTAAGATGGATGTTAAAATTACACAAAGTCACATAATTGTGGAGAATCACTGTATCAAATATGATCTGAAGTATATGTAAAACTAATAAATATTCATGTAATTAAAAATAGTTCAATTTTTTGTACACAAATGAACTAATTGATAATTCGCTAAGGAAAAATAAGTTTGCAGTTTTGTAACTGTTCTGAATTAAATTAACTACATATCTTACTTTTTAATTACATAATAATGAGATTAATAGTAAATGTGATTGTTTTAATTAAGTAAATTTGGATGCTAAAAATATAGGTATTTATAATGGTAGATCGATACAACATGCATAGGACGATTGTCTTCGTAGACCTTGACAAACTCTAGCTGCATAAGGCTACATGGCATAATTACCACTTTGCATAAGGCTTACATACATTATTATGCGAGCCCCAAGTTTGCATAAATGCACATTGTATAAATTATAATTTTTTGTATTTGTACATTGCAACAAGCTCTGAAAATTTACCCTGAACTTATGAAATATTGCACCAACCAATTTGTCATTTAGAAACTTAACGTTAAGTTTCCAATGGACAAATTTTAAATATTTAAGCGGGTCCTTTTAAAATGGCATTACTTTAGTCCGTCGTATACAAGCTATAATTAACTCAAACACGAAACCGAAACATGCTCCACAAATGAAAACTAAATAGAGATGAAATGCCACCAAAAGGTTTTGAAATGCACCGATCGTCAAATTTTGAAATACTGGGTGTAGTCTGGAATACCGCTGATCCACATATTTCCAGAGGTTCTCGTACAGCAAGAATATTCCGTTAGAGCTCAAAGCTTGCAGCGTCGTGGAGAGTCGATCACCTCCAAAATATCGAAACTTCCAGACGACATTCTCCTTGTAAAAGATCTCTTTGACTATGTTACACGTGACGTTGGGGTAAGTTGACTTGAGGAAGTGGAGCGCGTTCTGTATATTTTCCGAATTAGGGCCGAATGCTATTTCATCAGCGAAAATAGCGGCGCCAGAAAATTCATAAAACTTGGTGAGGTTTGGGTGAAGTCCTGAGTGCAAAAAATATGCTAATTGTACGTATGTATTATTGTCATTAATGATTGTGGTCACTACCGCCACTTTTTAAATCTATTGGTTACAATGGGGGTATTCATTAAGATTTGGCATGTTCGCATCTGAAAAAATCGCAACTGAATACTAGCCTTGGAGAAGCGCAGATTTTCATTTTTTTGCATATTTTTTTGTTGTTTTAGCGTATTTTTTGCTAACGTTCCTAACTGATGCGAACTGTTAATGAATACCCCCAATGTATAAATTCCATACTTTGTTTGACAAGATGTCGATCTCCATCGATTCGCCTGAGCGACATTCTAAACATTTCTGTACTCGTTCGGTTGTGCATTGAATGAAATCGAAACCCTACATCCTTAAACACTTCCGAGATTGTTTGGATCACATATTTTTCCAGGGGCTTCGTAATCTGGGCAGTAATACAGGCATCATACCACGAGCTGAGGAAGGTCATCCCCAAAATTCCCAGGATGCCGGCGAATGTCAGTTTTCTACAGAAAGGAGCATAATATTAGGACCGACAGTAGAATTAGAATCTTGCACATTTAGAAATTTAGCAGGTACTGATTTTCAGGTATTAAAGTTTCTACCGCTTGGTATTAAAATTACACCAATCCATCAAAATTTACAATCGATACGGCGAAACTTTAATACCGAACTATGACTACATTGTCAATACCATTTTGGTAGAGTCATATATGAATACCGCTTGGTATCATTTTAACACTGGATTTCCATGAGTGTAAATTTTTCAAAAATTTCTGCGGGGAACAAATGTAAGCTTGTCAAAATTTTACACTTGCTTATTTTACCTTCGCGGTATCGCCTGCCTGACAAGGGCGACCAAAAGGTCCGTAACTTTACCCTTATTAGAAATCCTCAAACCAATTGACATCACTGCACACGCCGTCCAAACGTAGTGGTCCATGATTGTGAAAAAATACCAAATCATTACAGACGACATGGTCGGATTCTTCTGACAATAAAGGACGTAGTAGTCCAACATTCGCTCGATATAGAAATCTTCCCCCTTTGCAGTGCTTATCTTGTGTACTTGTAGTCCTAGGAAAAAGCGAGCGTGGGGATGGGACCTGTATTGAAATATTTGATTTAATGTAAATTTTGTTTAAATAATTTTTAGAGCGTTAAACGTTTTTCGTCTTTCGTTAAACGTTTTTCGTTTAATTTTAGAACGTTAAACGAACGTGTTTCTTGAAGGTTTGCTAAACATTTCAACCATTGCAAGGCAAAAAACTAAAAAAATGCATGGTGTAAGAAACTGCAAGAAAATGCCAGAAATATACAGATACGTGTAACATTCCTAAGAATTTCTGTAATAATTTGGGCTAGTCGTTTTTCTTCGGGGGAAAATATCCCTAATGTGGTTAGTAAATTTAATTTTTACTTTGTTCTGTCAAACGTAAAGTTGAGCTTCCTCGAAACGATGAGCAATGGACCAAACGAAGTAAAGCATGGTGACCGAAAGCGGACAAACTCGCGATGATTTTCGCAATCAACTCTGTTCATTTTACGAATCCAACCCCGATCCAGTGGAAGTTTGCACTTTTGTTGATTATTGCTAAGCACAATTCTATAAAGACGTAACTGTCGGGGAGATGGAAATGAAGTTTGTACCCCACGTGTAAACTTTTTCCACTTGTAATATCCCCGAATCGGAGAGGACAACACGCCGTAAACCGTCGTAACTTGGTGACGAATGTCTAAATAGATTTTATAAACTGGGATTCGGAAAGTGTCCAAATACGAGTAAAATTGAGATCGCCCCAAAATTTTAAAACTTGTGGGGGAAAGGACAAAGTAAATTGTTACATCGTTGCGAGTCCCCCAATTAATAATTTCTCCACTGTAATCATTAATTTCACCGGATTGGTCAAACACGAGGATTTGCATACAGTTTATTTTCCACAAGGGAAATTCATCCCTTCTCCGAAAATAGTTTGGGAGTAAGTGTTTAACAACTATTCCGTTCGAGTGGGCGGATATTAAAGTTTCGTAATAATTTTGCTTGAAGATTTTCGCCGAGAAATCTGACGATTTAGTGTTATGCGTTAGAGCAGTTTGAAGAAGGCAGGTCGGATCAAGGTCAAAGGTGGGGATACTTTGCAAACTTTGCGAAATTAGGGTTGTAAAGTAGAAAGCAACTATTAGAATTGACCTAGCCATGAAAATAATGGTTTTTAGGTAAAATTAGTTGTAAAGGATCGTAAATGTTTGTCCTTCCTGTTGCAAAAAAATATGTATATGTACATGTAAATAAGCGATAATTTGCATGCATACGTACATAAATATGTATTTCCGTGTATCGAATCATTTTATTATTTGGCAATTGCGTCACGATAAAGTTATGTTTTTGTACATCTAATGCATGAATTTATGAATGCGGGTTCGGATTTGACAAAAGATTGAGGACAAAAAGCAACTTAATATGCGATTAATTTTGACAATGAAACTTCTTTTTATTAATAAACTATTTTTGAATGGAGATGCTAGTTAAGAGCGTATAATTTTACTGCATTGGATTAGATAAGTGTGTAAATTCATAGTATTCAAGTAAGTGCATAGTTAAGTTTAAACATGTTAAACTTTCGTGGATGGTTTATCCTTAAAATTAATTTTTTAACCTTACATATGTAACAATAAGTGATGGCGTGATACGTCCAAATTTAAAAAATAATTATATGAACGCCATATTTATATACAAATTTGTTTACCTCGTCCATCCGGGAAATGGGGAACATTTTAATTCATTTGTAAATATATAGTGTATATTATATACATCTCCGCATATATACATGCATACCTTTGTATTGTGCGTATGTATATATGTATGATTAATTTGCTACAAATAAATGGCAAGACTTCAAAACTTACCTATGCTAATATCAAGAATAAATAAATTTACTTTACTAAAGTACACATAATAAAAGTTTTTTGAGAAAATCGTACATATTTACATACATTATAGAAGTATGTATTTATGCGTATATGAACTTACATACGCCTAGGGCTTAGGTCTTAAATTTCTAGGTAACTTTTACGAAATTGACAATAGTCTGTGAACTGGTTTTATTTGTCAAATCGGTTTGCAATTTCAACAGTTTTACGAGAGAAATGAAGATAGGTACACACATTGGACGTGTTATTTGGACGTCTCTGTATTTATCTGTGCATAACATGTTAGAATGTGCATCTTTGTCAGGACGATTAATAATCAAGAAAATATTTGTTCTTGACCAATGCAGTTGAATTAATTCACTAAATAGTTGCATGAATTTGAGTTAAGTTTAGTTTGAATTAGTAATTAATTAACTTCTGATTTAGTATGAATAATGTTATAATTTTCTTGGAAGGTCACAGTGACAAACCGGTTGTCCAAGTGTTCTGAGAAGTGAGAATCATTTTCTTGGAGAAGATGCATAAGTTACTAGTTTTCACACTAAAAACTTAGTGCTAAATATTTATGTGTAAATGTTGAATGTTGAATATTTAAAGTATGCAAATCTATTTGTGTATGTAAAATAACTTACAAAGTCCTTCCACACAAAGGGTTTAAATTAAATGTTCGACTAGACTGGTTTTAAATTTAGTAAACAAGTACGATTATGTGGGTATTTAAAAGCTTGAATAATATTTTTTTAAGTCTGTACTATTTGCTGGATGCTCAAATTATATTAAATTCAACTTGGAATTCCGTTCCCTCTACGAATAAAATGTGCAGAAAACTTAAATACATATTTAATATATACTTGCCAGTAAAAATACCTAGTAACTTTACTATACACATATTAATTCACATAGTTGTGAGGAACATGTTTTCTTAGTGTGTAGCAAAACTTGTTATAAGCATGTAAATGATAAAACCCACATTTATTCTCCACGAGGAGGAGAGAAATCTACATTGACATATGTAAATTATTATTAAAACACGCACACACCCGATCATCATGGATTTCTGTTTAGTCGCCCTAATTTTAGTGGCGGTGTTAAGCATCGCGTCCAGTTCCCCAGTGAATTATTCAGACGAATTGGGCGTAAATCTCGAACCTACGGAAACATACGAGTACGAGGATTCGGATGAAAGCATACCAGAAAACTCTGCACAAACATATCTTAGTCCAACGGCCTTTGAAAATTTGTAAGAATTTTAACTCGATGCCGTAATAATTATCAGAGATTTTTAATTAATTAGTGAAATCAATTAATTTGCTAATTAATTACCAATTTTCAACTAATTAACAATTATAAATTAGTTTTAATTACCTTACCAGAGTAATTAAACTGAGTCAATTATAATTAATTAGTTTCGTGATATTTTAACCAATTAATTAATTAACTAATTAATTACTTAATTTTTGAGATTTATGTGGTTTGCGCTGTTTCGTTTTCCCAGGTAATGTGGGATTTTTTTTTAATCTGGCAACTCTCCTATTCTACATGACTTATTTTCAAGCCCTCATAATTAAATTTCATGCCATAATTTCATCTTTGTTACAATAAATAACTACATACATACTGTAAAGTATCTTTCAAGTGCCAATAATGGAAGACGATATTTTCAAAAATGAATATGAAAATCTTAACAAACTAACCAGGTCAATACTCACATACCACCATCAGCTACAGTTGAACTTTTATTTAATTGATTGATTATGGAATGACTAATGGAATGATTATGTATCCAAAAAATATAGGCGATGTTAAAATGTAACCATTATAAATTTGAGTTGCCGGTAATTATTTCTGCAGTCCATAATTTTATAATGTAGTTGTAAATTTTGCGTTGAAAATAGAATTTTAAAATTTTATAAATTAAAATTTTTTAACTAATTAATTATTTTTCCAGAGGTAATTAATTACTTTTCTTAGAAGTAATTAATTAGTAATTATAATTAATTAGTTGAAGCTCTCTAATTAAAAATTGATAATTAATTAGATTAAAGATGTCGGCGCTAATTATTAATTGCTAATTAATTATTCTTTGCACTAATTAAAAAGCTCTGATAATTATATTGCTGCAATTTTATCTTACGATACAGGTTAAATTTAAAATTTTCAGGAAACGAAAATGTCCAGAACTTAAAAATGTTGAGAATACGGGGTTCATCGATCTGAGATATCACGAGCCAGAAAAAACCTGCTTTCGCATAGGTACTCAGGGCCCTTGCAATTCTGGAATGACCTTTTTCCTCCGATCCATAGGGAGCATTTACGGGGATTGCGACTGCACTCCGAGATCCTTGTCAGGACACAGGCTAAATATTTATGACGAAAAGACTGACAAGTGTTACCCGATATTTTCGCAGGTTCGGAATTGTTTGTATTACTTTTATTCTAAAGAACTGTGATTTTTCGAAATTCTACTTACATGTTAATTATGTTATGGCATAGGCAACGACTGACAATATGCACTAGACAATGAGAACAAATGGTGCCGTAGCTTGTGAAATTCATTTCCTAATCTTCTATAGAATTCTATACATAAGCCTTTAATTTTTCAAATTTTTGCAAGTTCAATATTTTAGACAATTTTAAATTTTAATTTTAACTTAAAACAAAAATATGTATTTCAGGAAACATTCTCAAAAATTTTCAATCCCTGCATATCATTGATCTTACATACAATTATTTACCGATTTCTGCCTTTAAACTAAAACAGAGTGCTGGTTTAGATTGATCGCAAATCGGGGTGTTTCAAAAAAAGACTCGATAATGATATACATAGTCACCAGGTCTAAATGAAAATGGCAATGAGGGTATGCTTTATTTCTTCGTAGCCTTATTATCGTAAAATAATTTACAAAAATGGAGACTCCCCTTTTCGCAATCTTAGTAACGTGCTATTTTATGACGAAATTTTGCGACGCGTACAAAATTTCTTAACCGTTGTAACTTATTTTAGCGATACGAATACCCTCAGTAAATATTTTAATTTATTTTCAGGGAGCATGTTCTCCCGGTTTCTATCACACCCTTACGTCGGATGGAAGGCCAACGTGTTCTGAAAATCCGTGCTCTTCCCACGGACCGGAATTTGTACAAATTAATGGAACATGTGCCGAGATTGGGAAACCAAGTGAAGTATGTGAAGTTGGGTTCGTTTTCTTCAGAGAGGAAAAAATAACACCGGGTTGCGTTTACGGAACTGCATATGCTCTTCCTGCCGTGGTTAACACGTTGTCTTGTGCGCCTGGAAGCGTGCAATCTATCAGTGGACGTTGTGTCAGGGCTGAAACACGCAAAGGAAAATCAATTGGATGAACAAAAAATATAAGTATACATATTTTAATTGAGATCACGTTTAGACATTTATTATGATATTTTGACTAATTAAAAATTCTTCAACCGATTTGTTAATTGATACATAATTTGAATTGTACATTTATGAATTCTTAATGAGTAAATGTGTTTATGTGTATGTATGTGCATAAATGCATGAATATTTTTGTGTACTTATCTGCAACCAAATTTCTTAGAGAGTTGTGCATATACCTAAATAATACTACATATATACATATGTACAACTCTTAGAAAATTGGTATTATGTAAATTATTACTGACCAGAGTACATACGTGTCATACGACAAAATATATCTTGGAACAGAATCTAACAGAGCTACATTTCTTATCGTGTGCATACGTGTGTAGATACATATATACAAATACGTACATATGTACGTAGATAGCTTTACCGGCACTAGTGATAACGGGCGTTACCGCTTAGTAATTTTGTGGTGATGAAAAATGAAACAAATTAATACCAATCCGGTAGAAATTGTTACCAAATCTATGGAATATGTGACTCTACCAGATTTTTAACAGCGTATGTATGTACATAACTAGGCACATACATGTTCATAAGTTTCCATGGCAACGGTGTGAGTTCTCATCTGTTTCTCTTCATCGTAGCCACCAATCAATACGCAGCGTAAAAGTTGAACTCCAAGAATGAATAAAAGCTAAATTACAATTTGTAATTTACAAATATCACAAATATCATAAATATATAAATTAAACCCGGATTGTTATCAAACTGTACATAATTAAAGTGCATGGACTTCTACGAATAAATACCAACACATACATACTGATAAGGCAAAACATAAGGTCATTTTAAAATAGGGAAAGTTTCTAAATATCTGTATGTACATACATATCTACACATCTCTCTATCGGAAAAAATTTAGTATGGTATGTACAGTTTAATTTTGAATTTAATTAAAAATATTGTATAAAAAATAGAATGGTTAACATTATTAACCATACTATGTATTTTTAATCCAAAGTTTTATACATGAGAAATTGCAATAATGTCATCATTTACGTATGCAATTGTAAACTGTTTTTACAAATAAGTATGTTAATTTTTGACTTAATATGTACATATTTTCAGGTTCGATGCGACCGGACATTCAAGCATCTAGTTTGTAATTAAGACAAAATTGACAGCGCGGTCTGAACCTGGTAATTTGTGTACACACTTTTACATGCACGGTTATGAATCCGCTAAGGTCATGCAGGTATTGATTTCTCGGCATTAAAGTTGCTACCGCTTGGTATTGAAATTATACCAGGCCGGAAAAGTTGCTACCGATGTGGCAAACTTTAAGTACCGAGCTATTATTACTGTGTAATGTTACTATAAATATCACTTGGGTAGAGTCATGTACCTAAGTACATGAAGACAGGAGTTACATATATCTATGTATGAGCACCCTTTCGTACTATTTCAATATGCCCTAGATTTCTAAGAGTGCATCGTTATAAACAATGAGTATGTACAATATTACACTAAAGAATTCCCTCTACCAACAGGTCATGGAGCAGCACCCACCATCATCCACCTCTCCCGAGCCCACACACCCCCTCAAAATCCCCGTCATCCTCTCCTCCCTCTTCGCTCACGTGACCCTCCCCGACCTAAAAACGGCCCGCCTCGTCTCCAAACTATGGCACTACGAAGCCACCCACTTTCTCCTGCTAGGTTCCAAAATCACCATCGATTTCAAACCTTACATAACCTGCGATAAAACCGCCCGACTAGCCAACCTCGCCTTAATCTCGTCCCTACCCCACCTTTCCCCCCAGGAAGAAGGCGGAACCGCCCCCACTCTGGAAATCAAACTACCCCAGTTCATCACCAACCTCCTCCCAGAACTCCAACTCGACTCTCCAATAAAACCATGCGGCGAATCAATCGCCAATGTCGGACACGAAATCGAAACACTTTTCGACCCAGGTCCAGAAATCTGGGAAACTTTGAATTACCCCGAAATTACGCCGTGGTCACGGATACACTTCATCCTGCAAGACGTACAATTACTCCTTACCTGTAATTCCCCCCAATTAAGAGAAGTCATACTTTTCGCACCGATAAATACGGACTCGACGTACGCCCTTTTTCTCGCCGTGCTAAGAAAACTTGGGGTTTTACCGAGATTAGAAAAACTTGAGGTGACCATCGTTTTCGGGATGCCATTTTTTAACAAACTTTTACTGCAAGATGTCCCCCCACCCCCGGAAATGGTTATCTTCAACTCGATAAGAACATTCACAATAAGTATTATCCACGATCCGAAGTATTGGACAAGTGCGAAAATATTTCTGCAAGGTTGGATCCCGCACGTCGTGGGGGGAATGGGGGGACGTCTGAACGAGATAATTTTGAAATTGGGAAGTGACCTGGACACCTTATTTTTGCACGATGTGCAGATTTATTACCCAAATTTTTACACGGGATTAAGATCGATTTCGATTTTACATTCGAGCAAGGACCTTTTTCAGTGGGTCAGAAATTTGCCGGGTTTTGTCACCTTGACGAAATTGGAGGTGGCGACGAGACCGGAAATGGAGCCAGATTTGGAGAAGGATATAGAAACTTTGTTGATTCAGCATTCCGTAACATTGAAAAGTTTCGAGGTGAGGTTACATCGGCCAAGGGGGGAGAAGAATTTGGCGATAAAGTTGCCAAAATTAGCACATTTGGAGAAGTTGCGGATCAGTATTGGTGCTGGGAATGATGGGACGTGGAGTAAGGACTGGGTGCGAAGGGGGAGGCAGGATTGTGGGGTGGAAAGTGACAGAACTTCGGCTACCGTGACGTTTTATTCGGATCAGGTCAACCATGGGGTAGAGGTGAGTGAGATGAGATGAGATTTACGTGGATATATGTAAACTTTGCAAGTTTCATAAAAAAAAATTTACTCCGGAGACGTTTAGTATAAACATAATTTTGCATGTCTGTGAATTTGCTATCATTTTAATTATTTATTTATTGACTACCAGTTTACGCAAATTTCTACATAATCTTTGATCAGCTCACTCGGATTTACGTACTAACCCGTTGAGGATTATTTTACAATTCAGACAATTCTGAAAATTCTGTAAAGTTACATGCTTTGCCAAATTTTAGGCTGGGATTTTCTTGTAAACTTACTCCGACCAGTCTTTTTAATTTTTAAAAGTTTGTAAAATAATTTTACAGCATTTAAGAATCAACGACAGTATGAATTGCTGCATATACTATTTCAATTTACGCAATTGTCAAAGCTTCAGTTCACACGTATTTTCGTAACCTATACAACGTTTTGGAATTATTTCGCAAACTTGTATATGTAAAATGTATGAAAGGAAATAGTTTACACTTGATCTGAAAAGCGTGGCATTCGCGCATGTAATAATTTTTTGTATACAATTTCCTAATTTCAGATCGCCACAACGCTTCCAAAATTAGATTCACTCGGATTGTGGACATCCGGACGAAGTGAGCATGACGATGCGGACAGTGACGTCGTAACCTTTTCCGATTTTCCGTTCTTCCAGTCATTCATATCGTTGACCTGTGGTGATGAAGATGACCCCGTTTGCCCCACTTTGCGACACTTGTTCATCCCGCATAACAGTCTGGTGGGGTTGAGTGGTCGGATGAAGGGGAGGATTCGCAGGATGTTTCCGAACGTGAATAATCCCTGGTTGACTGGTAGGACGAAGGGAGGAGGAGACTTTTCGCACATTTATGATAGCAAATTTTAGACAATCTTTACACTATTAGAAATTCAATACTAAAATAATACCAAGCGGTATTCATAAGAAAAATCGTGTAGTAATAGCTCGGTATTAAAGTTTTACCAGTTCGGAAGGAAGTTTTTAGTAAAAACTTTTTACGGACGGGTATAATTTTAATATCTATATAGAAATCATGCTTACATATGTAACTATACCAGAGTTCTAACAGTGCACCCCCAAAGTATATATCAGACTGTTATCATTAAAAACTCAATATTCGGTTTCAGTAATAAAGTCACAGCTGGTATTGATAATATTTCTTAGGCCGTACATGCATATAAAATTCGCCTTAAATTAAACCTACATAATTATGCAAACTAAATAATTACTCAAACCGTTTTAATAATTTATTACTTTGCGGTTAAAGCAATTCCATTTACCTCGCAAATCATAAAACTATGTATGAATAAAATCGTATTAACCACTTCGCCCCTATAACGACTATGTGGCGTATTTGATCTTTACACCGGATACGACTATGTGGCGTAAGTTCCCTTGGCTCCGGAATACGACGATGTGTCGTATTGACCCTTGACAACGGGTACGACTATGTGGCGTATTTTCCGTTCACGCCGGCATACGACTATGTGTCGTATCCAGAAAAAAATTAGGTCATTGCCCTTCCAAGTATAGCAAAGAAATAGTTTTGAGTCAACAACACGCCCTTTGGGCGGGAAGATGAATTGCCTCTTCGCAATCAATGTTATAAAGGGAGGTGGAAACAATTTATAGCCAAGTGGCTATTTCTAGCCAACACGCCCAGTTTTGAAAACTGCTGTTGGATGGAATTTTTGTTACCAATTTCAACAGCGCTTTCAGACAAAATTAGAGAAATTGTTTCTCTCGGATTTAGAACGGGCGTTTTTGGCGGGAAAATTAAACCTTAGATGAATTGCATGAAATTAATATTATAGGCTACAAATAATATTGCCACTACGACAAAATTCGTCAAAATTAATTATTACATATCTGGAGCTGGTGAAATCTCTTTGGGCGGGAAAATTAAGAGATTGCCTGGAATTAATAGCAATTAATTTTCCTTAGAATTGAGTTATATACACCAAATGCGCTAAAGTCGATTTTGAACAGTTGATGCTATAATTATAGCCTGTATATTGTATGTCAAGAATTGAAAGCAATATTTGCGAAGTTAAATTTTCCCGCCCAAATCTACTTCTGGGGCGCTTGAGGCGCGATAATCGATTTTTGCGAATTTGTGTACTATTATGCAAGTGTTACTCCATGTCTGTCTAACTATCCATGGGATTACAATCATTTTCAAAATTCGGCGGGTTGGCTATTTTCGGCTATAAATATTAGTGGTTCACAAAAACGCAAAGATGCAAATTACGGCTCAATATCCGTGCCAAAATGGTTATTCGCATCAACTTTCATAAAAAAGTGTCCAGAATAATTCAGGTGGGAACACCATTTTTTAATTGATCTCCCAGTAATTAACGTCATGCAGTTGGTGAAAATTGCGGGGTCAAGGGAAGTAAAAATTCGTGGTTGCTAGGGGTGAAAGGTATGAAAATATGCGTCTCTCAGGGGTGAAGTGGTTAATCACCAAAATTTATGAAAATATTCGCCTGATTTTGTATTTATTTATTTCACAAAAACCATTTTTACACCCTTACAGTGTCCATACCTTCCCGACATCGGTGCCCACTTGGCCGTCGCGTCATAAATGTTGTTCACCACTTTAAAGTAATTTTCCAGGGCTTCATCCATCCCAAATTTATGGAGGAGCTGTTGCTGCAAAAATCTGATTTCTTGCACCATTTTGGGCATCGTTTCTTCCAAGAGGTCCTTCAAACAGGGGAATATCGCCTTGTTCTCAGTTTGGGAAAGAATGATTAAATAATTCGACTTGTCCCGGTTCCGAACGTCTTTCGGGAGGGAGTAAACGTCGTTCATGAGACCGCCCAGGGTTGCCCAGACATCTTGCATCCGCTTAAAGACGGGATCCCTCCGTTGCTCGAGAGTGATGTTGATATGCAGAGCGAGCGCCATTACTTCGCAGGAGCAGCGGAAAGCGGAAGTGTAACTTCGTTCGGATAAGTAGGCCGGAATCGTTTTGTAAATTCCTATATACAAAATATGCAAAAAATAGCTTTTAACGACATAGTTTAAGAGTTGAATTTTTAAACTATCTAGGCATAGGGTTTCTTGATTTGGAATAAAAATAGACAAAATGCGAAGCACGATCTATATAAATATAATTTCAAATACAAATTTTGATTTTCCACAGAAAAATCAATATAAGCCAATTCACGCAGTCATTGGTAACTCGTAAAATCCGTGTGTTTGTACTTAAAATAATTTTACAAGCTTTTGCAAAATACAAAGAATATGACCAAGTTTACAAAAATTTGCAAGCTGATTTTCCTTAAAAATATTTGCAAACCTTGGTAAAAATTTACACAAGTTACGGATATTACAATGTATTAAGGCCTGCGTGAATTGCCTAAGTAAAAAATGCGACGGAAACATGTCCTTGAGATTAAAATCAAGCATGGAACCTATTTAATTTACATACCAGATTCGAACAATGCTTCTCCTTCTGTACGTAACCATTCCGTAGTGGATTCAATTGCCGGACCAGATTCCCCCGCAAACTTCTCCATTTGTTCGAATTTTCTCTTACAATCGACTAAAAACTTGCAGATTTCAGGGTTTATTCCCAAGCTTCCATAACCATTTGACGTATTGCCCGAACAGATTTTTGACATGGCAATCAGCACATTTCCATCTTGGACTCCAGAGTTTTTCAAATTGTCGAAAATGTCGTCGATCACAAAGCCAAAAATATTTCCGTACACGACGGGGAGCAGGTTTTGGTGGGAGATTTCAAAATCCGGCGGGACTGAAGCTTTAACCAGGAGATGGACGTATTTGACCTTTTGGGCGAGATTTTGCATCTCTTGGAAATCAAATTTAGCCAGATGTGCAAAAATTTCGTGTTCCTCGTTCTTATGATTGTTCCGCAGGATCGGTGTGTGTCCGACGGTGGGACAGTGCCACTGGGCAAGCAGTGGAATTGCCCCGCTGACGTGGCATATTTCGCCGGTTTCGGGAATTTCGATGCTTCCCATGTCGAAATTAAGGTGGAGGGATGACCCCTCAAGGTCAAAATATTTTCTGGATAAGATTTCTCCGCTGGTAGAATCAACCAGGTGACCCGAGAGAAGGTCGTACATTGTTCGCGGGAGGATGGCACCCTTAATTTTGTCGGCAAGGTAGACCGGAGCGGGAATTGTTAAGTAGTTCGACATGGTTGCGGTAGGTAGTGAAATGTTGAATGGATGACCTCAGACATCTTCATTCATGTATTTATACGCCAATAAGTTTATGAACTCCTTATGCAAATTGTAAAAGTTATGCGAAGCTTTAAAGTCATTCATAAATTTTCTATTTCGCATAATTGCCTATTAAAGATTGACAGGATTTAAAAAAATAACATTTATGTAATTCAGGGAACAACGCATGTATGATGAACCTACATAAGTGACTTACATATACATATATATGTAAATCTCGTGTGAATTATGAACACAGACAGAAATATAGCCACGATTTTACGGACCTGAGCAGATCTACTTCTTCATGAAAATTATGGACCTTTATGAAAAACGGACAGAAATATCCGCATTCGTTATTCATGGATCTATGCATAGTTATGCATGTACATAGGATAAATACTTAGGAGACAAGATTCCTACGAATTATTTATGTGCCTGGGATTTTACCCCTAATAAATATGTGGACAGGGTTTTCCGCTGGTGTATATCTATTAAAATAATACTTACTTTCGCAAATCAAAAATTAATACAAAAACAAATAAATACTTTCGAGTATCCATCATTTTTTAGGTACGAATATAAAACCAACACTTATTCCTTTCTTCCATTCACATTTAGAATCAAAGTTCAATTTTTATTTGCATTTAATACGTAGCAGACAACTTAAAGGCGTGAATAACTGAAGTCTGCAATTTTAACAGCATATAAAGTTAGGTTTTTCGAACTGAGAGCACAATAAAACAACTACATACTAGGGTTGCCGCGGGTAGCGAAAATATTACCCGTTACCCGACCCGCTACCCGCAGCACAACTACCCGTACCCGCACGGGTACCCATGCGGGTACCCGTCACCCGCTACCCGTTATGAGAATTAAGTTAAAAATTAACCAACCCCACAATAAATTTGATTTAATCAATTATTTACTCATTTTTCTCAATATGTAGTTTGAGATAATGCTATGCAAGTAGCACAGGTCATACTTTGCTAGATGTCATTAGTTGTTTCTCAAACGAAACATTTTGGCTTACAATGCAACCTTTGTCAAGCTACACGGGAATTTCAGAACATCTGGCCAAAAACTAGAGATTACATTACACTTATCTGAATGACCCCTTCGAAGAAAACTATCAGTAGGGCAGAGTTCATTGTCCACAATAGTTTTCTCCCAGTGGAAAAAAAAGAGGTAGAACATTTGCTTACAAATTGAACTTTATTGCCAATATTGTTTTTCAAAGTGGCCACTCATAAAAAAAATAAATAAAAAATTAGTGTCACGTGATTCCCAATTTTTGGCTGGACGTTTTGACATAACTCGCTAGGCAATCTTGGTATAGCTTGAAAAAGGTTACGTTGTTAGTGTGGGTTTTTTTAAATTTTGATTTAAATGAAGTTTTAATTTAAAAAATAGTCTAAATATAAACTTTTTGGCTTCAATCGGATAGAGATTTTTCGCTCTCCCTGTACAAATTAAAATATTGTGCGTTTTACATACGGATTGAAGTCATATTATTCCTGATATTTTATAGCAGGCGAATTATGCTTGAGAAATAATATTTTCCCTAATTCCGCATTTTCTGGAAGGCATTTTAGGCAACACTATGCTTCTCAAAAAACACGCTCGCTAGAAACGTTTTTGCTGACAAATAACAAGTTCTGAATGGGACAAACAACAAAATCATACGTCTTTAAATGTAGAGCCTGATGAGCTTCAAGCTTTCTTTGTGAGTCAATTTATGCACAAAATAAAATATAAACTGGACTACCCGTTACCCGTGCGGGTAGTTCGCGCTACCCGCAGATAACGGGTACCCGCAAAAATCTTGCGGGTATGCGGGTAACGGGTACCCGACCCGTTACCCGCGGCAACCCTACTACATACTTAATTTAACTAATCCTAAGGAAGGTCAGTATACTCGACCTCTCTACAGGTACATACATAAATATATATATTT